GATAGCAGAAAGCAAGTTCAGCCTGACTAACATAAAGACTAGGCTCAGCAGGTAACACACACACACACGCACGCACGCACGCACGCACGCACGCACGCACGCACGCACGCACGCACACACACACACACACACACACACACACACACACACACACACACACACACACGCACCACACCACACACACAATTCTATTTAATTCACTCTCCGTTTTCTCTGGCTTTCTTTGCGTTTCAGGATGAAGAAACAGATGGCAAACCTAAGCTATAAGTATAAAAGTCAGAGGGATGAGTTTACAAAGAAGAGCCGGTATTTGTCCGAGGACTACAAATACAAAATAAAGCAGTATGAGCGCATACAGAAGCAACTGAAGTGAGTCATAACATCCCATCAATAGAAAGTAACACAGACATGCTGTACTGCTGAACATGTCTTCTTCTTCTGTTCCCTCCTTCTCTTCACCCAGGCACTTTGCAGTCGCCGATGGCAGGAAATTCGAGGAGATGTGGCTAATGATTGATGCCGAGGTGAAGCAACTAGTGGAGAGGGCTTTGGACATCGACTCGCAGATCTGCAAGCAGCACCTTGGGGTGGCCTGGGAGCGACCCGTCATGGGGTTCATGGAGCTCTGTGGTCCCATCCAGCCCCAGGCGCTCCCTCAGCTGCTCCACACTGGACAGGACAGTCAGAGGAGGATGGACCCCTCAGGGAGGAAGGGGATAGAGACTGAAGGGAGCGAGGTGCAGAGCGAGAGCGGAGCAGAGGAAGAGGAAGAGAAGCTGCCCATGGAGACACTGAAGGGAGTGATGGAGCTGCTGTGTGACAAGGCGGTGAGAGACAAGTTCATTTATGTTTGATACAGGAAGACGTTTGTACAATCACAACTATATTTATATCTTTACGAACAGTAATAACCATGATATCTAAAACTAAATGTATCTGTGATCACCCTAAGCTGAAGCTTGATATTTCAGCCACTGTCAACCACGCTTTGAGCAAAACACATATACACTGAGATACTTAAAGATAAGATAAGATACTTTATTAATCCCAATTTGGGACATTTTTGCGGACTTGGGCTGTCCGCTGTTTTACTTATTTTAATCCTAACCATCTAACTCTCAGCAAGAAAGCACACACGTGTTTTCGAAGTTTTGGGCTATCGAAGGTTAGGTTTACAATTTTTCAGTGGCCAATATGAGTGTTTTAAAAAAGTTTTGGTTGCTATAATCGTTGAATTTATTTGTCTATGACATTATCTGACAAGTATCTTCGACCAAAATGTCCCCTTCCTTCTGTCTCAGGGCTTCCTGATGGAGGATAAACTGCTGAAGCTGCTGATTCCCCTTGGGAAGGAGGAGCAGACCGTGGTGAAGCTGGGCTCTCTCCTCTCTGTGAGTTCATCTGATGTCATGAATCTGTTGGACCGTACGGAGCAAATACTGATCAAAAGACATGTTATTTTCTCTTCTAGTATATTGGCATTGAAGAGGAGGATATTCCCAAGTTGGCTGCTTTCTTATTAAAGTACAGACATCAGCAGAGGGAGCAGACTGAGGTGAGGAGGGACAGGGATGAAGAGTTTAGTGGATGGATGCTCTTGAATGAGGATTGTAATTAGACCATTTCTGTATTTACTGATGATTCTTCTCTGCCCGCAGGATGTTTGTGATGGGTCGGGGGAATCTAATAACAAGGCAGAGGAAGAGGAGACCGAGCCTACGACTCATCTGACCTCTGACCTCGATCCGTATGACGTTGTGCCTGCTCTGAAAAGTTTCCTCCGGCAGCACATGAGGTCCAGGTAAGAACACATCTAAATGAAATGATTACTTCATTTTAGGAATTATTACCCTTTTTAAATGCCGATTAGTTTGTAGAACGGCACTGTTGTTCCCACAAAAATGTAACTAATCCATGGGGAATTCTGAGTATGAAGTTTGAGATATGTCAATGATAAGGAACATTATTTTTGATGCATAAAAAAATTATATAACATTTAAAACAAATATTAATCATACGAAAAAATAGATTTTCTTAAAACTGTTGGAAAAAAATACTTTCTAAATATATATTTTGTAATATTATAGTTTTAAATTACCTCAATATTTCAACATTTTACCCATTTAAATGTATGTTCACATAATGCCACTTGTTTGCCAATGTAACTCAATACGAGGTCACACAGTCATGGTTACAGTAAGACATGTGAAGGTGTTTAATCACATCATAAAAAAGCCAAACATGTACCTAGAGAAGAACAAGGGTTGAACCAGTAATAGGACTTTCTGTCAGATATAAACATGGGATGATGAGCTACATCGGTCTTCCTCAGTGAATATGTGAAGTGTTCCTGTGCGGTCCTAGGGAGAGCTCGGCTCGTCAGCATCACAGTGTTTATGAAGCGGCGCGGGATTCTTCAGAGGACGAAGCTTACTGGCAGAGTATGGGAAGTGTAATCTGTGAGGATCAACTGAAACTCTGGGACACAGCGGAGAACAAACTGAGGCAGTACCAGTGAGTAACAACTTCTCACACACACACACACACACACACACGCACACACACACACACACACACACACACACACACACACGCACAGCAAGCATCCATCTGAACTCTAACTTGTTGTTTCTGTGTTTGCAGGGCGGTGCTGGCGGAGATCTCGGCGCTCGTCCCTGAGTATGAGAGTCTGCAGCAGCAGAACAGAGAGCTGAGGATATTGCTGCAGCAGACTCTCAAAGTAATGTTTTTGTCTATCACACTTTTATTACCCAGATATTCTATTAGTGTTATTATTGAGGTACTTCCATGTAATTTCTTTTGACAGGAAATGTACAGTTTTAATATGAATGTTTTATATTTAGAAACTAAAATGCAAATGTAGATGTTCTGCTTTTCTTTTCACAAATGAGTAGAGAATGACATGTCTTTGGTTTTGGCAAATCTAACGTGTAGAAATAAACGCTATAAATGTAAATAATCACATTTTTTTACGAGATAGGGCCGAAATGAATGTTCTTCTTTTCTTACATTCTCCATCTGTCTTCTTTTATTCTCTGTTAGGTCAGCACTGATCTGGAGATGTAATCCAAACTCAAATTGGACTCTGTAAAATAAAGCGTCTATTAAGTCACATTGTGTTTGCAGTTTTTATTTGTTACGCTCTGCTAGATAAAAAAAACCAATTAACTGCTACATTAGGCAGTCACACAGAAGTTCATGTGGGACACAAGGAGTAAACAGAATGGTACATTACAGCCGTTTATCCAGCGCTGTTGAAGAGCTTGTGGCTGAGCTCTGAGGGGACGGAGAAGAGGAGGAGGGCGAGGAAGAGGAGCCCCAGCAGGGCGGCCAGCAGCAGCAGGCAGGGCAGCCTGTAGAGCCTCCAGACCAGCAGACAGAGGGTCCTCAGGGGGGACAGCAGCCAGGACAGGCTGCTGCTGGGACGACTGCACAGACACACTCCATCAATACACACACATATCATTCATTACGTCGATGCAAAGACAGCTGAGGAATATTCCACTTAGAGGAAGAAGGGAAGATTGATGCAGGGGTAGAGGTATCACATTATAATTACTGTTGTTACTGTATAAAGTATTTTTTTGTGCATAAAAAAAAAACTTTTACTGAAGTATTTGCTTTAATATGTTTTTATTTTACTTGTCAACGCTGTAAGAGACTATAAAGAGATGCACACATATTTCACTTAATTATTTGTCATACTACTTAGATGTCAAATTCAATTGTATTTTATTCATTTTGAATAACTAACCAAAAAGGTTAAAATAAAAACTTTTTTATATTTTTCTATGACTTAGTATATTATATATTTTTAGTATTTTTAAAGCATACTGTACTATATTTTCTTTAATGATATTTTTTGAAATACTATACTATGAGCATTTAAAATAAATGTGTATGTCATACTCTACTATGAGTTTTCTTCTCTTAATTTGACTTCTGTTATCCATACAAAAACATTGAAATAGCTGCTTAAACAACTGCAAACACGTTGTCCATTGAATTCGGTTTATTTCAAATTGCCGAGAGACAAACATTGCACACACTTCCACACATATATAAACAGTAATTGATTGTAAAAACAGGCAAGTGTAGTGCAAACAGTAACTCTGTGATTGATGAAACACAGAATTACAAACAGAGACGGCAACACAAGTCAGGCACAGGCAAATTGGAAGAAGAGCAACGCACACGGCACACAACGCCATTTGATATGGAGCGCGAGTTTAGAGAATCAACCCCGGACCCCCCCCCCCCCCCCGCTCCACTCAAGTGCACTTTAACAATGTCCCCGTGAAATCGTCTCTACATTATATACCTGTAATGTGAAAGAGAGCAGGGTTGTGATCTGGAGAGACAGTCATGCCAACACACACGACCTCTGCGGCCACTTATCACAATGACGCATGCATATCGACATATAGGTCTACATTTTTGTAGAAAACAGTAAGGACCTTGAAGTGTTTGTTGCATTTGGACCAGATTAAGTCAAAAGATATTCTCAAATTATTCATTTGTATTCTTTTTTGATAATTATTTGCAAACACTGTTTGTTTCAAGCCTGGCGTGGCTGATTGGCTTCAAGAGATTTAACATTTTAACATTGCATCTGAACTAAAACCCTGTACACTTATTAATTATTTTATTAATTTTGAAGTCATATTGGTCTAGGTCTCATTAGATTTCATTAGGAAAATATACATCTATTTGTGTTTCTTCATTATTATTCTTGAAGTGTGCAAAAACTGCAAGAGCTATAGTAGTTAAAATAAAGAAGGTAACTCTTAGCTCTAATCCATCCGACTCAAATACACATTGAATACATGTAGTTAAAAGCATCTATAAGTTTTATGTGTTTGTCTACAACTATAACTCATATGGGCACTCATTAGTGAAAGCTGGTGTAGAAACAGATAATAAAGGATATTATAGTAAAGAGAAAGGTGTAAAAATATAAAATAAATTGAATTTAATGAATAAATAAATAAATAAAGGTTGTATGAAAAGATAAATAAACATTCGCTGTCATGTAACATTGCTTGAAAAGAATATCATGGGTTACACTTTGTGGCAAATGATTGCTTTCTAGTCAGTTCAAGGATGGAGTCCAGATATTAGATTTGTTAGGCTTGCTGCAGTTTTGATGAAGCATTAGACAGTTTTTTCTCATGATTAGCGGGGAAAGAGTCATTTTGGTGGTTTCTGCCTGAGCGAAAGTGGGAGGTGGCGAGCTGAATCACAACGGAGCAGAGAGCAGGAAAACATGACTTGTGATAAGCACTCTGCGACTTCTTGTTCTCTCCTTCTGGTTCTCCATCCGCCCTCTGCGTCTCCCCCATCTCTCCGTCCATGTATCCAGCCGGCCACCTCCCCCGTCCCCCCCAGCAGCCCCTCAGGCCCCCAGCAGCTTCTTGACCAGGTAGCCCGGCATGCTGTAGAGGAAGAGGCCCAGCATGATGAGCAGCAGCAGGGCCAGCACCATCTTGATGATCAGCCACTTGTAGCGGTTGCACACCAGGTAGCGGATGGCTTTCAGCGGGCTCAGGAACCACAGGAAGGTGGTGTCTGGGCGACTAGAGGGAGGGGGTGGAGGTTTTTTTTTAATGAAGAAGGAAAGGCATGCAGGTGGTGGAAAGAAGGAGTTAATGAAGGGTGAGTGATGGTGGATGGAGAAAGGGAGAGAAATGGGATGAAGTATGGGAGAGAGAAAGATGGCGTTAGTTGGTAATAAGCTGCGTTACATTTATGAGTTATTTCACAGCATGCGCACATTTCTATCAACAATGTGTCAGAGGATCACATCACAGAGTAAAAGCTATACAATAAAAACATAAACACAATGAAGATATTGATTATATGGATGGATGGATGATTGATCAACAACTACAAACACTGCTGTTTGTTTCAGTTGAGCCCCGAGCCTGTTTTTCAGGCCTCAGGCTCGAAAATGACATTCCCAGAACAAATGACTATAACTTCACTTCTAAAAGGAGTAAATTAATAATCTTTTTTCTCAAAGCAATGATAAACCTGTGAGTTGGATGTAGAAAAGTCAGAATCAATATAGATTTTTTTTTATTTTAAAGTAAATTCAGATTGAACATAGTAAAAAAATGTAAATTATAGTGTCCGTCCTCAAAAACATTACTTATAGTGAAAACCACCCTTGAATGATGGGATCGGAAACTAAAAGCTTTAGGAATCCAAACTATAAAATATAATAAGTACCCTGTATCAAGATTGATGCAAAACAAGTGACATTTTACCTTTTTAGAGAGATTTAGAAAAAAAAACCCACTTCTGGGGTCATTTTGGGTGCATTTTCCCCCGTCTGGCCCCCGTCGGTCGATTTTGATGATTAACCTAATTTTGTTGTTGTTGTTTGTTGTCATTTCACCGGGAGTTCTGATCGCTCAGTGATGATACTAATACCTGTAGAATCTGTGGAATCTCAGCTTGCTAATCGATATCTTGTTTGTGCAGATACGATAAGTAATAATGGTATTTTAACGTGAGTTCTGTGCTAAGTGTGTTAGCATTTCTTCGCTCAGGGCTAATTCAGAGCCTTTTATATTACCCTTACGGAGCGTCCACACAGCAGCGTTAAAAAAATCTTGGAGGTGGGCGTATCTGAAGCTTGGGGATTTTTTGCGAGCAACGCGACCAACAACCAATCACATGAATCTCCCGCCCCCGACATACGACGCAAAAAAGCCCGAAGTAAACTGGATATAAACTCCCCAAACAGGCGAAAACCTACCACTGTCTCTGCCACCTCCCTCCATGCCTGGCTCCTCCGGTTTGTATCCCGGTAGGTAAATAGGGACTGGTCATAAAGCACCGGGTGATTGATTCGCTACCGCTAATTTCTCCTCCATTTTTTGGAATATGAGGAAATGACCTGCGGTATGTCTCTCCCAGCATACACGCGGTTTGATTGGCTAGCGCTTGAACTGTCAGATTTGCATAAACGGGATTTGATTGGCTGACGCTTCCACCTCAGCTTCAAAAGTTGAACATTGCTCTACTTTGAATCCTGAAAATCCTGAAAATCTCCGCTCTGCTTCCCACAATGCAGTTCGGCGAAAAGTGAGGCAAAGTGACGTCACCCCATTCAAAGTGAATGGGCAGAAGCGTTAGAAGATTTTTTTTAACACTGCTGTGTGGACGCTCCGTTATGTTTCGTTTTGCTAAAAATGGTTAATATTGTCAGTTAGCTGAGTTTCTTCCCGTTAAGTGAATATGACACATTCATAGTTTATTAAATGTTAAGAAGCCCTCAGACGCTGTTTCTTGCAAGATGTTGCGTTTTGCACCCGCCCGTGGGGCCGTGGGGTTTAACTGGGGACATATTCTCATTTCAGGTTCATATTTGTATTTTGTGCCTCTGCTGTGACATATTTACACGCTTCAATGCTCAAAAAGCTTTATTTATCTCATACCTGTGCTGCAGCACCTCTTTTCACCCTCTGGCCGTTTCTCAATGTCGAGTAAAGCTGCAGAGCCACTATTTCAAGTATACTACGTCATCGAGTGGCGCCGAATGCTGGGCATTTAAACAGTCCTTCGGCGCCACTCGATGACGTAGTATACTTGAAATAGTAGGCTCGTTTGAGATGAGCGAGGCTGACGCAGACCTGCGCAATTGCGACCGCCGTCTTGCTAGTGCGTTGCATGATGGTTAGTCATTTTGTATGACTTGCTCTGGAGGCTCGACTGCATGAGACGTTGAAATCTCGCGGACAAAGACGCGGGCAGCCTTGAGAGCGAGGCGAAGCAGTTTCTCTCCATGAGCTGCAGAAGCGAAATGCTTGATGGGAAACGACTCGCTGGTATCTCGAGCTGAGCGCTCATTGGTGGTTTTTACCCCGTGCTGGAGATGAAACTCTCCAATTGGCTCCACAAAAGTTTGTTTGTTGATGATGTTTATCATCATGAAATTAATATCTATATATGTTATACTATACTTGCACTGCTTACCGTTTTCATACTTTATATATCTTAGCATATTCATACACACTGTTAATACTGTTCATATAGCTCATAGGCTACTGTGTATATCTAGTGTGTTCATACCCCTCACTGTTTTTTCATCATTCAATTCATTCTATATTTTATTCTGTAGATTGTGTACATTACTTTTCACTTTACTGCTTTATGCACTCCTGGTTAGAAGCTAAACTGCATTTCGTTGTCTCAGTACCTGTAATCTGTGCAATAACAATAAAGTTGAATCTAATCTTGAGCAGGAACAAATGTATTTACTTAGTACATATCTGACATTAACGATTATACACATTTGTGCATTCTTTATAAATGCAAACTGGTCAAGACCACTGACGGAAGTAGTTTTGAAAAGTAATAAGTGGTTCTGTCTTTTACATGTAGGACTCAACCCCCCTTGTATTGATTAGTATTAAAATGAACAGACACTCATTTGTAGTGATATAATAATTATGGGATTTCTATTGCATCCACTTCATCTGCAACAAAGAAAGCCAACGCAATTTCCGCCATTGCAAACCGAGTCAAGCCGACTCCGAGCTGTCCGACTTCAGGCGAGCTTTTTGAGACCTCCCCCGGCTGCAATCGGCTGTTCTGGTCTACTTTCGAGGCGAGCCGCAGCTCATCTCAAACAAGCCTTCTGGCTCTGCAGCAGCTTTACTCGACATTGAGAAACGGCCTCGGTCTGGAACCAGAGCCCAGTCTGCTCTGATTGGTTAGATGGTCGGCTCTGTTGGGATTGGACAATCGCTTAGAGATGTCCCGCCCCTTAGCCTATCACGCACACATGTGTGTGACATCCACTGGCAGCTCTGAGGAGATAACTGTTTTCATTATCAATAAATTCATTGTATTATAGTTTAATTCAATGTCTGGTTTGTGTCATGTCATCATCAACACACAGTATGCCTGTGCATACTTTTAAACAACGTTAGTGTCCCTTAGTTTGATTTTCGAAGCCAGTATTTGTTCATTAGTTTGTTTTTGTCTTGTAAAAAAGAAATAATATTCAATTAACAAAAACGTTATTGACCCTGTTTTATTCAAACATTTGATTTTTCTTTAAAGGTCACCTCTTGTTTCCAAACAGTTGGTGACTGATAAGATGTACAAATGGCACTTGTTGGACAAAGACATTTGCATTGTGCAGAGAGTTGAGAAAAGATATAGCGAAAAGAAGCTCTTCTACAGCTTTTATAGACAAAACAGGAGAGGCAGAATAGGAAGAGAAATAAAACAAACTGAGTTTTGCTAGGACAAGTAGATCCAGGAAGAAAAAGGGGTTAAACAGGGAAGCAGAGACAGCGAGGAGGGGGGGAGGCTACCAGCGCATCAGGCCCCCAGCATCTTCTTGACCAGGTAGCCGGGGAGAGAGTAGAGGAAGACGCCCAGCATGAGCAGCAGCAGCACCAGCCCCAGCAGCTTCAGGATCAGCCAGCGGTAGTTGTGCCAGATGAAGTAACGAATGGACTTCAGAGGGCCCAGAAACCACATAAGACTGGTGTCCGGGCGACTTTACGTAAGGAGTTAGAAAGAGGAAGGGAGGAGAGGAAGGAAGGAATGCAGATGGAGGTAAAACAGAGAGAGAGGGTAAGGAGAAAGGGGGAGTCACAAAGACAAAGGAGGGGAGGGGAGAGACAGAGGGAGACAGTGAGGAGATGGTAGGAGGAGAAACGATTGCGAAAGTGTAACAGTGTCCTTTTGACAGCGCAAGAAGCAGTGCTAAGGTCAACATGACCAAATGACATCTTGATCAAATATGATGTTCTGATTTATGGTGATTTTTAACATCTGATACACAGAGTGATATTCTTTAAGAGGAGGATTCAAGGAGATGTCTGCACCACATAACCGACCTCAAATAGAATTAGTGAAACAAGTGTGTGTGTGTGTGTGTGTGTGTTAGTCTACATGTATTAGTAATAAAAGTCAATGTCTTACTTTGGTTTCTCCAGGGGATCAGGCTCATTTCGTCCCAGGCCTACAGGACTTTTCTCCGCCTCTTCTGCTGTCACCAGATGAAGCTCAGCTTCTACCTTACCCTGCAATAACAAATATATTATGAATCAATTCTCTAGAAGCTTTGATTTTTGTTCAACCCTTTTTCAGTAATGCGGAGGATTCCAATCTTCCTTGGACTCCTCAGATTTATCTTGGAAACTTTTTTTATACCGATACAATATAACAACTGTAAATCTGTTGTAAGTGGCTTTTTAACGGCTCCTTTGAAATGTTTATTCAAGCAATTTCGAGATGATGATTTCACATGTGGTGCTGAAAAGGGCCACACGAGGAAGAAATGTAATAATGTCATAGTGATATTACTTCAAATAAATAAACAAGTATGAAAGTCAGTTCTGCCTTTCTGCTGCTTCCAGAGTACTGCTAAAAAACAACACATTTCTTGTTCTATTGAATAACTGAAATTATTTCCAACATACTATTACTATCATAATATCGCAGTAAAAAAACACAATATTTTGCGCAGCCTTTGTTCCAAGACTCCATTTATGAATTTGCTCACACTTTGCTGCTCAGTATTTCACATCTGACTCACCGTCAGCTCCATCTCATCGTTCTCATCGCGAGCTACAAATGGCCACCAGCCCTTCACCCTCTTTTGTTTGAAGATAGAAATGGTGGGCAGCTCGTGCTCATTTCGGATCATGTCAAGAGAACACTGCTTGGCCGTCTTGGCTCCACGAGGGAACCGGTTAAGGTCCAACTCAATCGCCCCTGAGAGTGGTCATAGAAAAAGACAAGGATGGTAATACTTTGGATATTTTAGATCAGATGGCTAAATGTTCTGCAACGTTCCTCACCCAGGAAGTCATCAGCAGAGAAGTGGTCGGCGTCCCAGACCTGCAGCGTGAGGCGAGGAGGGATCTTATACTCAGTCTCATCCCAGGAGAACATGGACTCTTTCTTAGAAATGACGATCTTCTCCTCAGCCATGAGGTAATCGAAGGGGAAGACGAAGCGCCAGTTAAAGTTTCCTTCCCCGGTGAGGGAGTGATAGTGCACGTCTGTGTCCTGCTTGTCCTCCTGCTGCCCTTTGAGCCATCTGTGGGAGATCCATAGAGATCAGTTAGCTTGATCTTTAAGGATCAGTGTTTGGATGAGTGAATAGATTGTGTTGCTTGATTAGTCATGCACTTTTAAAGGTCTAACAAGTTGGAAATTGCAATTGTCTGTTAGTTACTGATTATTAATTTGATTGATTTAAACAAGAGCACAGGACATGTTAAATGTATCAGATTGCCAACAAGAGAGATGATGCTAATAGGTCAAAAATCACATAATGTGGCACTCCAAAGGCAAATCAGATTAATATATGTGTGTGACATCTGATTTGATGTTGGAGCTTCACACTATTTCAAAGCCATGCATACACAAAGCTTGCATTAATGCCATTAGTGAAACTGATCTGAAATTTGGCAGTTGAACACTTTCATCTTTAGTGCCTGGATGCAGATAGCAGAGGATCAAACGCTCAATCCGTGCCGGCTGAAGCTCTATCCTTTAAAGTTTACACTATAGTGAGACTGGCTTCATTAGTGAGGGAGAACATCATGGAAGCTGCACTCTCAGATTTTAAAAATGCAACACTAACATAAGAAAGCTGACAAGTGACCCTTAAACATCTCAGTCAGTGGAAAAATGTGAGGGAAAGTGCTCTGATTTGGTGACTGAGATGCACTGGTATAAACTCAACTTGTGTGTGGGTGGTAGAGTATTGGGTTTTGCTCGGCTACATGTTGCCAAGACATGCCTGATCTTATGTGATCCTACATACTAATCATGACCACTGCATTGCAACATTAAATCCATCAGAAACAACCCTATCCTCCTTTCTGTAGGTCATGATTTTTAAATGCTTTGTTTTATAATTATCCATGTATGTAAAGCTTGTTTGAGGATGGCAGGATTGTTACAGAACAGTCCTGAGGCGACACATCCTCGGGTGACACCGGGTTAGCTGAGGGAAAAGTGAGTTTTGTTAGGAAATGCATGAGCAAGGATGCTGTGCAAAACATTGATATTAACTCTAAACAGGAGTAATATATCAAGAGACCCTTTTCATTGTAGACATTTTACAAGGAACGAAAAGAAAAGCACAGATACTAACTCAAATCTTTAATAAAGGCTGTTTTGCACTAAGTTGAGTGTTCCAAGGAGCTGGTATTATTCGACTGAGGAACTTAAGATAATATATTAATGCTATTTATTCAGTGTGGTCACAGTACACTTCCATCCTGTGAATATTTTCTGCATCTTCCTTCACCTTAATTGAGGTTTGAGATAAATTCAGGCATGTCTTTCCTATTCACATCATTTTCTGGGGTTCAATTTGAGGCAATTTCATTGGATGGAAAGCTAATGTAACTACAACTTACAACAGGTCAAAATGTCTGTCATGAAAAAGGTGCAGAAACATGACAAAATTATCAAACACATCAGTGCTCGGTCGTACGCCATGCAGATTCTGTTCTTAAATACATGCAGGAGGCTCCATATACCTGATCGTTTAAATTAGAAATATCTTGAAAGTCTTCAATTAAAAATCGTTTCAAGTCAAATCTACAATTCAGGACCAAACCACAAATAATTAAAAAAAAAACAATTCTCCCTTTTTTTAAACCCTTTAATCTCCACTCTTGACTTTGACATTAGTAGTTTGATAAATGGAAAGAAAATAGTTGTTTGAAAAAAAGGTGGTTTTAAAAAGAAAAGAGAGGAAATGGAAGTTTAAAAAAAATAATGGTACAACAAAAAAATAATTAAGCGTTGGCTTAAGAAAAATTATAGTTTGCCAAAAATAAAATTGATGTCTGAAATAAAAGAAAATAGTAATTAGTAATAGTAGTGTAGATGTTCAATGAAATATCCATTACTCAGCATATTTCTGTGGTTTCCAAGTTCAAAAAGAAACTTTCCATCCCAGCATATCTGTGTGTTGTTAAGGCACAAGTATGATAATGAATATACTTGTCTTTGTGGTTTGATCCTGACTGAAGTTTTGGCCACAGTTTTCATCGTGCTTTTTTGGAGAGTTTGGGACGAGCCAGGTAACGTGCTGGATGGAGAGTCGAGACAGGAAGTGGGAAAGGGGAGAAGGAAATGGGTGCTTCAGGAGGGGGAGGGGGGGGGGGAGTTGCACGAGCCATGCGATGGTATCGTGTGTTTACCCCCTGACATAGATGTCAGACATCTTCTCTCCTGTCATGAAAGCATCGTCCTCTAGAATTACGTCATCAGTGTTCCAAATAACAACACGAAGCTCAAAGCTAGACAGCAGCAGAGCATTGACCAGAGGAGAGAGAGAGGACGACAGACACCACAAACACAGGACAAACAACACGAAAACGCACACGGAAAAAAATGGAAACAAAACAAAAAAAAGAATGGTTAACAAAAAAAATCCACACACAGCTCACACCCACGGGACGAGGCTTGGTGGCCGCATCCCGCCGTACCTACCCCCGGACAAATATGTCACTGGACTTTTCCCCAGTGAAGTAATCATCGTCCTCCAGTATTACTTCGTCTGTATTCCAAATAATCACCCTGAGCTCATATCTGGTAAGGGGGGGAGGAAGGAACACACAGTTGGACTTATATTTGACATCAAATGGAGAGCTCTCTAGGGCTGTACCGAATATCTTAGAGCGTCATTTAAAACATTTAGATTTCAATGGTAAAAACAACACAGGAATGCTGCGCAGCTATTAATTCTGTTTAAACCCAGTATTTCTTTATGGATAAAGAGAAGGCTACACTTTTATCATTAGCACTTAATTATTTATAATTACATTCAAGAATTTGGAAACACTATGTAGTCTGCCTAGTGTTTTGCGGTCTGACCCAAATCCCACGAGTAACATAGGCTCGGCTAATATCACATGTTCTGCCAGCTGGGGAAAAATAAGTGTTTTAAGAAAGTTACTCATAACTAAAACAATGATTGCATGCAATATTCCACCTTTCACTTTCTCCTCTCTTTCAATCTCTGAAACACACAGCGACCTGTCCTCAGCCCACACCTTCATGTCGGCTATTCATGTTGAAGAAATACAAATATATGTCCATTTAAGGAAGTTGATTTGATTAAGAAAGACTATCTCATTACATCAAATGAAACATTTGATACAAATTGAGGATTTTACTTGAGGAGTCCAATGTTTTTTTAGGGTATGACGTCTAAAAATATGCTGATAAACACTCAAAGCTTCATTTGTTAACCTCAATAGAAGCTTTCAATATGGAAAAACCTTGACATTCGGTACAGCCCTAGAGCTAACTAGTCGAACAGACTCACCATAACTTGGGATAAAACTAGGTTTTCTGTTGAAAAAACTGAAGAACTTTAGACACTTCGAATGCAATCAACAGACATCTTCCCCATTAAAACTGCATTACATGTATAGTTATTCCTATTTATAAAACATCATAGTTATAATGAGGTTACTTTTATTTGACCGACCGCAGCCTACCTCTTTGGTTTCCGTGGTGATATGTCTAACGCAGGTCCAGGAGCGGGCATGTCCATCGGGAACATATCCACCCACATCTCGATACGGCCCTTTGAACACAGAGAAGAATACACACTTATAAATGTCTTTTCAATTTGTTCCATGAGTCTAAGCAAGCGTGGCTCCTTCCCACCTGCTCGATGCCGGGCTTGTCGGGGTTCAGCAGGGGTCGGGTCTCCACGTGTTCAGGGACCAGCTTCCAGCCCACCCTCGGGATCTCCTCCCAGTGGTTCAGCACCGTCAGGGCCAGATGCTCCTCAGTCTGCTTCTTCAGACCTGGAGTATCAACACCAACAAAAGCAGGTGAAGAGGCAAACCGAAAGCAAAACACTTGGATCTGGAAACAACATTTCAAAAAAGTGACCATTTCAAAGATATATGATAACATTTGATGACCATCACATTGTTTAGAAGACTAAATGTAGTTGACGTGATTATCAGGCACTTAAAAGCTTAACCGTTAATATTTTTGACTAATTCGCCTGTCTATAAGTCAATTAAACATTATTCGGGATGTTTATACGTTTCGTAGCTCCCGGCCTGCTGTGTCCCTTGCATTTGATGTCATTTAGCATATTTTTGTCTTAAAAATTAACAGGCTAATTATGGGTTAATTACTGGTTAATGGGTGCCACCTCTTCGTAATTAACCTGAATGTGACATTCCAAGTAACTGTACCCTACTCTACTCTAACTTGAAAATGCTATGTTATCTGAAATTCTTCAAAGAAAAATGCAGCGGTACCATTCTCATCCTCGATCTCTGTCCTTCCCTGGAAGATCCGATTGGCCACCTTGACTTTGCCTCCCGGGCCGTAATGAGGTCCGTCGATCTTGCCGTCCTTACAGAGCTTCGCCAGGATCTGACTGGGCTTCATAGGGTCTCGCCAAATATTGTATCCATGTCTGATAATAATAGGGAACAAGGTGGTAATTACATTTCTGAAAACTTTAGGTATAACGGAGCGTCCACACAGCAGCGTTAAAAAAATCTTGGAGGTGGGCGTATCTGAAGCTTGGGGATTTTTTGCGAGCAACGCGACCAACAACCAATCACATGAATCTCCCGCCCCCGACATACAAAGCAAAAAAGCCCGAAGTAAACTGGATATAAACTCCCCAAACAGGCGAAAACCTACCACTGTCTCTGCCACCTCCCTCCATGCCTGGCTCCTCCGGTTTATATCCCGGTAGGTAAATAGGGACTGGTCATAAAGCACCGGGTGATTCCCTACCGCTAATTTCTCCTCCATTTTTTGGAATATGAGGAAATGACTTGCGGTATGTCTCTCCCAGCATACACGCGGTTTGATTGGCTAGCGCTTGAACTGTCAGATTTGCATGAACGGGATTTGATTGGCTGATGCTTCCACCTCAGCTTCAAAAGTTGAACATTGCTCAACTTTTGAAGCCTGAGATGCCTGGAAATCTCCGCTTTGCTTCCCACAATGCAGTTCGGCGAAAAGTGAGGCAAAGTGACGTCACCCCATTCAAAGTGAATGGGCAGAAGCGTTGGAAGATTTTTTTTAACACTGCTGTGTGGACGGGCCGTAAGAGCATAGAAAGTGAGGATTTGAGATGTCTACACAACATATAGTGAGAATCAATTAGATTTAATTTATTAACATTAATGACAAAGTAGAATCTATTAAGATAGGTGTCTGGTTTCATACTATACAGTGACACTTTAACAATGAATACAACATGAAAAGGATAAAACACATGGATGCTCACACAGAGTATTTGGAGGAAATGCCGCAGGTGGCTCTGTATTTGCTGTAGAAACGATTCTCCAAGTCAATCTTTGTCTCTCCGATCAGGTCATCGGTGCCGACAAGATCCCAGTCGTACACCGACACCGACAGCATGGACTCCATGGGGAAGGTGGCCTCGATGTCGAATGATCTGACAGGTTGAGGAAAAACAAAACAAGAAGAAGAAGTAAGGAGAGCAACAGATCCATGCTCAAATGTATTTAGATAAGGCAAACTGAAACTTACTTGCCGAATACAGGATTGAGCTGTTTGGAGATGTAGTTCTCTTTGTCCTTGACGTCTGATTTGCCCAGCTTAATGACAATATATGGATCAGCCTTTCCATTGATATCAGCAGGATGCAGATCTGTAGCCTGAAGTAGAGAGAAACAGAACACCAGAGACACATTTATTAGTGTCCGTTTATTATGATGTGTTACTACTGATGAAGTTTAGGAGGTGACTCACCCTGACCACGTAGACACGAACAAGGACGTTGATTGGATCGTTATGAGGGATGCTCTGGAACATGCCCATATTAGGATCGAACCCTGCCTCTCTCGTGATTTCCTCAGACAGAGGTAGCTTGTACATACATAAGGATCCCTGGGTCACGGAAGAAAACGTTTAAAAAAGCAAGTTCAAATGTGCGTTATAATTCGTTTTTTATCAGCAAGCGTAGGCCTGGACGGACTTGTTTTGTTACTCAGTGTTTTCCCACCTTGAATCTGCCAACAATCCTGTCGTCGTCCTGAGCGTGTTCATCATCGTCCCCCGCCTTTCCTCTGTACAAGTTGAAAGTGTGGAGCCAGTCTGCGAAGTTGCCATACTCAGTCTCCAGTTCCTTGTTGTACACCTGCATGGGTCGACAAACACATGAAATAGTTGTATCTGCATTTATAATCTTGTGTGTACTTTACGTATTTTCAGTGTGAGTGACATACTCACCACCAGCTCGTCCACCTTGGCTTTAACCGGTCTCCTCTCAGAGTGTTCTGCAGCCTGGCCCTTCTTCTTGTCCTTAAAGAACCTCTTCTCTCTGCTCTTGTCTTTTGTCTTGAAGCCTTTCAGAATAAGGTCATCAGGTCTGATATCTGATCAGAGAGGTGAGTGGAAGTGGAGGCGGACAAAGTGTGGTTGGAGTCATGAGAGGGAACGCAGGGGTTGCACACTACACATTCAACATGAAAGCTGACAGACGAAATGATCAGGGAGTAAGATTTCCTGAACCCAAATGCCCTCTTGTTCAATGTATGGATTTGTCTTAAAGAGTAACTTTACTGCTGATAACATTGTTTTTCATGACTGATGATTGATTACTGATTTAACTTATCACATGTAGATAATTGTTAGGGTGGTAAGGGTACTACTTAAGTAATTCTGGGTGAGGAGAGCAAACTGGGTTGTATTCTTCTTCTTTCTCTTTGAGGTGGAACATTTTGGAAGCTAACATATGGAAATTGTATAAATCAATGAATTTGTATTTAATTAAATTATTTATTGAATGCATGTTAAAGGTGGGGTAGGTAATTTTGGAGAAACCAGCTCGAGTGCGCTCAAATTTGAAAATACACAGCCGGAAAAAATCTGCCACTTCCTTACAGAGCCCCTCCTCCAACACACACGAACGCGCACATGACCAAAGAGGGCACGAGATAAGTTTGTGCACAGATGGAAGGCTGACAGGCAGGTAGGCCATCCAGTTATTTAGCCGGGCCGGCTAAAATGATTGGTCGTGCTTTTTACAGTACTACGGCTTCCACAGATGACATTTTTTTATGGATTTTTTGTCAAAGCACTTAAGATATTCATTGCTATCGGGATGTTAAGAGCATTCCATGGAATATAACAAAAAGTGTATCTCAAGCCGGTTTCTCTAACTTACCTACCCCACCTTTAATACATCAGTGACTGCTGGGGAATGTCGTTCACATTTCCCAACTATGTCACCATCCATTATCTTTGACTATATATCTTCCTATGCTACACCTGGCACCTTTACATATGTCTTATGCTGCATGGATTGCAGTCTAACAGTGGATTTAAAAAAAGAAAATGATGTATGTGAGCCAGATAGTGTAGATGTAGGTTAATTCAGCGAGTCTGTATAAGCCAGCTTTCATGTGCACTGCAGAGCTGGGAAGATGCTGATGTAGGAAATGATCATGAATATGATAATGCTCGGCTCATGTTCAAAGCATGGATGAAGGATGAGTCCCCGAGAGCAAAGACAAGAGGAGCAGGAAGCCCATAATGATTTATGCAGGAACGCACATCTCAGACAAGAACTGTGCCCAGAACCCCTCCATCATTCACTCTAGTTTCTCTATAGATTTTGTACATTTATAAGTAGTTTTTGAATCTGACAGCTCTCCTTTTTGCATCTATAAAATGTGCTGTATTGCATTGAGGTATAATGAACAGAAAGTATGCTCTTTGTTCCGATTCCATGCTACATTTTCTCTTTTTTCCTCATGCTTGCCTCGATTTTCAAGTATCATTGTGGATATAGTGCAAAAACAGTATACTATGATAGTAACTATTTAGTAAATACTGTACAGAATTAGTATCAAGCAGAGATTTTGGACACATTTGTATTGTACAGGTCAGTCACACCTCCATATAAAACAAATAAACGAAGCAAAGTAAATATAGAGCACTTCTTAGTATACTGTATATCAGGGGATTTAGGACTCAGCAATAACACCATCTATTGACTGACACAACACAGCTCAACACTACTTTCTCCAGTACAGTGGACATAACAGATCGGCATTTTCTATGCTATCAGCCAGGAATGTGTCTACACTCGCAGAATCCCAACTCAAAATCCGATAAAATAAATCAAAGCAGCGGGCATTTGGCAGCACTGGCAAGGGAGCCCGTCTGATGCGAGTTTATTACCTGCTGCCTCCGCTGCTATCTCCAGGTCCTCCCTCTCCTCCGCCTCGGCCTGGGCCACCTCCTGGGCTCTGAGGCTCTGAAGACCAGGCAAGAAAATGTGTTGGACTTTAACCGTGTGTAGATGTTAAATATAACTAAGTGGAATGGCAAGGCAAAGCAAGGCAAGTTTATTTATATAGCACTTTTCAACACAAGGCAATTCAAAGTGCTTTACAAAAATGAAAGACATTAAGAGCATAAAACACATTAGAAACATTAAAAAGCAAAGTACATGAATACAAGTTACAGGGCAGAGTGAGATGTGAATAGTTCAATTAAAAGCAGCGGCAAAAAGAAAAGTCTTTAGACTGGATTTAAAAGTAGTAAGAGTTGCAGCGGACCGGCAGATTTCTGGTAGTTTGTTTGAGATATTTGGCAATATCCCTAACCAAATTCTCACATTCCTCTAACCCTAGTCTCCCCGTGAAATGATAGTTCTTTTGACACTTTTCTACCTTTTTATATTCCTTTCATCGTTCTCTTTTGCATCCCCAGACAACACATTTCCCCCTCTTTTACTGTTACCCGAACCCATCTCTGACATTTAAACCACTTTTCTTTTCAATTCCCAGAATTAGGATATTTAAACCATGTTTTAAGACTTCCCTCATGAATCTTTGGCCTTCAAACCACTTCTCTTTTCAATTCCAAGAATGGACAACAGACAAACCTCCTTCAGTGTCTCAATAGAAGCGAAATACTTGGACCACCAGTCCAGCACCCTCTCATCCGTCTCCTCCTCTTCCTCCATGCCTCCCTTCTTTTTCTTCTTCTTCTTCTTCTTGTCTTTGTCACTCTCCTCCTCGGTCTGTTGAAACAGTTCAGAAACTTAAAGTGATTTTATTCACAACGAGGCACCAGTTAACTTCAGTACATATTTTCATAGCCGAATTTCTATAGGAAGGATAACTTACCATGTCAACTTTTACAACAGCGTCAGACGTCTATGACAGGGAGCGTTACATAACACAACACAAGGGTTAATACACACAATGGATGAGGCAGGTAGGAGCGGCACATGTACAGAGGCAGGTTCAAAGGAACAGACATAAAGCAGTGCTACTATTTACATATATAAATCACACACATTGTACAATATCAATTAAGAGGCTCTACAGGGTTAGCTTACAGCGTCTAACTTGACCATCGTGTCCATCTTTCGGATCGAATGCTCCGAGTCCATGTCCACCATGAAGTCACCTGCGGGACGAGAGAGGGTGCGGGAGGAAAGGCTGGGTGAGGAGCGAGGCTGGCAGCCGCCATTGGTAAGGACCATGTAGCCATTCATTAGCTTAGCTGGAGTGAGGCCAAAGGGCAAAGACAGCCGGCGGCAGGAGAGGGCGGGACAGCCAAGGACATGCCAGAGAAGAAGAAGAAGAAGAAGAAAAGAAGAAGAAGAAGGAGGAAAGGTTGGTCAGGGCGGAAAGCAAGCAGAGAAATCAGAAAAGTTAATAAAGAATAAACACGAATTCTTTATTGACCAGAGAGCTCAATACGACATGTTAAAAAGTTTGTTTTAACCTTCCTTTGTTTACACTTTCCTCTCACTGTCTAAACCTTCCAGGAGCCAGGTCCTACTGGCTCTCCTACTAAAAGGTTAAAACAAAGTGTAAAAGTAAAATGCAAATATTGTTTCAAACATGTTTGCAAAGGACCTATAAGACTTTCACAAGAAATAAAGGAATAACAGTAGTAACAAGGAAGCAAAACATAACATGTGTCAAAAAATGTGCCAATCATTCCTGTTTATATTTGGAAAGTTCAACACATAAAATAAAAAGTAATTGAAAAAGTTCCAGATTTAAACAAACAACACATGATTGTCACTGTAGAGATACATCATACATCAATAAAAAATGCCCCATCAGAGCTATACACGCGACAAATCCCACAGTTAATAGGCTTTTCGTTAAGAATATTAGAACATATCACAATAATAAAGGAATAGTTATTGTACCTGCAGAGGCCCAGTTGTTGGAGGCCTTGTCCGGGGCGCTGTAGATGAATCGTCTCAGGCTGCTGACGGCATGAGACCCCACCAGGATGTAACGGCCAAACGCCCGGCAGTCCACCACCCGGATGTTGAGAGGAGGGTGGAGGAGCTCGTTCTCTGGGAGGTCCTGGGGACAAAATAAGTATATGGAGTTGGTTGAAGTTAGCATTATTCTCGCAATAATTAACAATTGTAAGGATTTAAATAAAATTAAGAAAATCCGTCCAATATCAAGTCAAGTTTATGAAAAGAAAAAGGAATATAATATCCATGATCAAACTGCTGTACTTACCACCTCAAACCATTTCACCAGGATGCTGAAGTTGGGGTTTTTCTTATAGTTCTGAATGAGGACAGACTGCACTCCTCGCCCGGCACACTCTATGTCCACACGGGGCCGATCCACCTGAGCCAGGTTAATCCTCTTCAGGTCCCTTAAGCCCCAGAACAAAACCTGAACCAGAGGAAAAGGCATCAGGGGAAGGGGTTTGCTAGAGCTCAAAAATAGAGCTGGGGGTTAAAGTCTCACCTCTATGCGGTAGCGACTCAGGATGGGTCTGATGCCCAGGGGCACGGGAAGAATGGTTCCCCGCTCCGAATCTGTGGACCCTTCAAGGGGAGGCAGGTCAGCCTTCCCTCCTTGACCAACCTAATAAATGACGAGAGAGAGGAGGTAAACGTGACAGTAACAGGAAGCTTCTGTGTTTTCAGTTTTGTGATACAGTATTGAGCACCATACCAGATTTCTTTTCTACAATCCGATTACAGTTTTAATTTTTCTTTGCTTAGTGTTCGAGGAAGTGCAGAGATTTCAGAGGTTAATGTCATGTTGGTAGAGGTAAAAGTTATTGTAGTACAAACACTGACAACAGAGTAACCGAAGAGTAAGACAAAGTGGGAAAATGCTAGAAAAGAGCACCTTTATTTGAGGGACAGCAAAGTTATGGACAGCGATCAGAGCTCGCCTAATCACCTCCGGATCGAAAGGTATCTGTAGGCAGCAGGAGGAGGGAAATATGGACATTTCACAGGAGAAACCATGAATACTTTAGTAGATGGAAGGAAGAGGCTATGACATGGCAGGCGGAGAAAACAAGAGAGAAAATTGAGAACACATATTTAAATGAGAGAAGGTGAGAAGTAATGCATAGTGATTATAATAAACAAGTGAAAGGATAATGTGATAGTTCGGTGAGGAGAGGGAAAAAATATGATTGTGTAAACAAGAAAACGGCAAGAGATACAGTTTGGGTTGTTCATTCCAGAAATACTCAGGGGAAAGCCTTGCATGGAAAATAAGCTTTTCTGTATCATAAGCAGGCATGATTGTAAATCCTTCTATTGAAAGATAATTAATTATGTTGAACCTCAATTTAATTACTTTTCAATTCACCTTCTTTAAACAACAAAAAAACGTTCTTTTTGAAACTCTAAGAAAATATTCAAATAGTACAAATAGTGATTTTCCTTTCAGGCCTCCATATCCTCTTCAGCAAATGTGTCAATGTCATACGCTGACGCCTTGTCTACATGATCTAATATGCATTGCTATTTATCCGGGCGTTGACTAATGTGATGGAAGAGTGCAAATCCCAATTAAAACATTTCAAAAATGTCCTTTTTAAATTCTGTGGTTCTCATTAACACACACAGCAAACTGTACAGCAGTGAAAACAAGCTCTCAAATAGGACACCCTATGGAGTTGTATGTGTGTTTGTCCTCATACATGTGAAATAATCGATCCATTTGTTTGCTTTATAAACATGTGTGTGTGTCCTGGCATATGTTACCTGCAGCAGCTCGAAGGCAGCCAGCAGTTCCCCGGCGGTGCAGTTCCCTCTGTAGATCTGGTAGTACTCCAGCTGGGGGGGGAACCTCGGGGGGCCGTAGTACTCCTCACACATCTTGATGGTGGGCTTGGCGAACGTCCGACCTATGAACTCTGCCTTGCCCTGAACACCACACAGTGACAGCGGGTAGTCGAGACAGTGAGGGCACAAGGGGAGTTAGACACGGGAGCAGGAGGTGCAGTTACCACGGTAACCACATGGTGTCAGTGTCACTGATTGTAAACAGCAAAAACGCAGTCTTACATAACAGAAACAAACACCCTGACTAAAGATTACAGTGTGAAGGAACAAAGAGGGTTGTTATTACATATACATCAGCATGTCTTTCTTAAATAAATGTTTTGTGTGAGTATGAGGAGCTACAACAACAACCATTGATGCTCATGCAGCTGCTGCTGTTTCAACACCAGAGATGGGGTCGTTACTAAAAAAAAGTAATATATTACATATTACATATTACTTTAAAAAAAAGTAATATATTACACTACTTCGTTACTCTCTACATAAAGTAACTCGTTACTTTACTCGTTACTTTACTCGTTACTTTACTCGCAGGGCCAGCCCGCCCCTCCCTGCAGGCAGATCACGCAGACTGCTAAAGTTTCAAATGTTCTCTTTAGTTCAGTTTCCATTGTCGCATAAGACTGATCCAGATAGCTCTGACTATGGCTGTCCTCTGTCTCCTGCTATCTGTATTTTGCGCAGTATATCTCTGAACGATGCGATGGTGATTCCACTGTGCAAATAGGCAACATTGCCTCTACTATGAAGGATGCTCCAAGCCTGTCCATCTCTGCTTTGGTTACCGGTCTTCCAAATTCTAATTTGTGCCGCTTCAGAGTCGGCGGCGGCGCACTCACAACATCCTCACTCTGGGTTCGGGGGTCCGGTCCTTAGCTATTAGCTTCACCTTAGCATGTGTTCTTTGCAGGTGTTTGTTGAGGTTTGACGTGGTGTTTGCAGCAGTGGATAACAGCTTCTGGCCTGGACACAGTTTGCACCTCACCGTCACATTCCTGTCTATTCTTCGGACGAACTCAAAATAATGGGCATACCTCCACCCCTCGAAAGTTATCGCTGACTCTGCCATGTTTATGCAGCACTGCACGCGGAGATGTGGACGCGCAAGTCGCGCAGATTATGTACATATAAACCTGCGGCGGAAACCCCTCTTGTCTGTCAGTGTGATTATGACTGATTTTATAAAAGTAACGAAGTAACGCGTGTCGGGGCAATGTTAGTAACTGTAGTGTGATTACTGAATTATAAAAGTAACGCGTTACACTACTCCGTTACCGACAAAAGTAATATTATTACAGTAACGCGTTACTTTGTAACGCGTTACACCCAACTCTGTTCAACACAGAGAAGGGAACTGGAGAAAGTACATGCAACTTTGTTCCAACAGAGATTAACCTTTAATGCTACATCAGCTAATAGCTATTAGACTTTCTAATTTAACACTGAATTTAACACTAACACTTTCACACTCTATTTAGCCAGCACAGCACCAGAGATCAGGTGAAGGGCAGGGTGGAGTGAAACAAGGGCGGACAGACAGTCAGAACATGAAGGAGAAGCAAAGCACTTTTAGAATCATAAGCGCAAAATGAGTGCCATAAAACGGTTCAACAAGCATTCATGAATCCATCATTTGGCCCCTTTATCATGCATCCAGTCATTCACACGTAGAGTAAGACCCTACCACAGTGTCCTGGTCAAAGAGTTCAACTACGATGATGGGGGGGTCGTCTCTCAGCTCACTGGCCTCCCCAAACAGCTCCACATCGTCAAACACCAGCAGCTGGTCCCATGTAGGGCAAAGAGTCTCGCTCAAGACCTGCAACACACACATTAGCTCAGTTTAAAGGTCACCTATTATGCAAAATCCACTTTTTCATGTATTTTATACATAAACATGTGCCCCCTGTGTGTAAAGAGATTCTGAACGTTACAGGAAAAAAGATTCACTCACTTTTTGTCCAGAAACATTTGAATAAAAACCTGTCTGAAAATGAGCTTATCAGATTTTGGCCACTTTATGATGTCATAAACGATTTTTTGGCTTGTGTAACCATTAGCCAATCACCAACCAAGGTAACCCCCCCAACACCTTATCACCTGAATCCCCTCCTAGAGCACCATTGTGTTCTTTTTAACCAAATATCTCTCAGAGGGGCGTGGGGAGTGGCTCCTTATTTTCAACTAAAGTAACAGACACAGAATCAGCACTTTTGAAACAGGGCTGAAACAGAGGGGATTATGGGATGCTCCCATGCATGATCTGTTTGGTATTTCGAGCCAAACACTTCAAAGACATGTTTTGTATATATCTGAGACCTATAACATATTGATAAAAACAGTATAATAGGGGACCTTTAACACATATTCGATTCAAACCCTTAACACACACAAATGTATACACACACATTCATGGTCCTACCTCCGTAACCTGGCTGTGTGTGGAGAAGAAGACACGGGCGAAGGGATCTGACAGGCCACTGTTGTCAGCGGCAAACAGACTGCGGGCCTGGTACATGTGTGCTCTCAGCTGGAACACCTGCTTCACTGTTGGACACACACACACACACACACACACACAACACACACACACACACACACACACACACACACACACACACACACACACACACACACACACACACACACCACACACACACACACACACAACACACACACACACACACACACACACACACACACACACACACACACACACACACACACACACACACACACACACACACACACACACACACACACACACACACACACACACACACACACACACACACACACACACACACAGTTCAAATATCTTTTGAGTTTGTTTTTCTGTGTTTTGCCTCAAATTAATTTCAGATTTAAACCTAACAACATCCCATTCTAAGAAAAGATAACTCTAACTGCAGACAATAATGTATTCAAACATCTTTATCCAAGAGCTTACTGTTGTAGACGAGGCTGACAGGGGGGATGGATTGAAGACCGGGGCCCGTTTTAGCGGCTTTGACCTCCTCAAAACCGTTAGGCAGACCGCTGAGGAAGTCCTTCCTTTGCTTGTTGATGCCGAGCCACAGATACAGCTCCAGCTTCGCCTGAACGGTCCAGCCTGCGGGACCGAAGCCCTTTTTACCTGGCAGCTGCAGACAAAGATTTCAACAACAGCAGACTGAAATATCATAAAGGGTTTCATTCAATAAATGAGAGACCGTTGAGAAAAACACAAGAAAGTAGGCGTTAAATCCTCCTTGTGGTTTTGCAGACATTTTAAATCATTGCCCATATAAATAGTAGGAGCTACTTCATTGATTTTCAGCCTTCACTCTGAAAGATTTACAAGCCTATTCATCATAATACTTGTCAATACTTAATCGTGTATATTGACAATTCACCACCACTGCACATCATTACATGAGTTCCGATTGAACTAGAGAGGAGAATATTGAGAGGTCTTCGATTGAAGATGGTTGAAAATGTGTTTTAAAGACTGTTTGACTTGAGAGGAGAACACAATTATGATTGTACCTTGAGGAAGACCCCTTTGACTTTGCAGCAGTCTTTTCCTGTTTCCTCATCCACTATGGAGTAGAGGATGTCTTTTGAAGGAATCCGGGCGTAGGCGATGCGCTTGTTGTTGCTCATCATCCAGACGAAAACATCTGGGATGCTGTGCTGAGGCTGGACAAGACGAATGCAAATGTTTGATTTGTGGGTGATCAGCACTCTCCTTTTACTAGGTTATTTCCCCAGATATAACGTAGGTTGTTTGTATACAGTGTATTAATTACTTCACATGAAACACTTCTTTGGACTCATTCTGTACCTCGTCTGCGAGGAATCGAAGCTTCTGCAGGAAGTTCTGCACCAGCTTGAGTTTGTCTCGGACTGTGTTTTTCTTCACCTGAGTGCGAAGCTGCTTGGCCTGCTGGCCCATGCTGTCCTGCAGGAGGAGAGGGGATGAAACTCACTAATTAAAAAGGGTCTGCAGCTTGCATACTTTATACATGTCATGCACACGTCATAGCTCAAGTCTAATCTAATTACACCAAAAAAGTAGACTTTCTTAATAAAATGATTTGTATTTTAATCTCAAGAGGCTCTTGATTAAACAATAACATCTTGGTAATTTCTAATTGCTTTTTTTTGGATACATGCACATCCATGACCTTTCACCACCTGCTTTTTAAGTGAAACACACTTGTGTTCTTCTGCAATGTTTTCAATCGCTGTTCACATTCCACAAACAGTAGTGTAGCACAGCTGCAGGCAAGTATGCAATAAAAACACAATTATTTATTTTCTTCTTTCTAAGTTTGACACAGACTTCTCAGGCAAACACTGTACCTGTTCTGACACTGGATATATTCATAATAAAGCCTCCTCCTTTTATCAGCCACCACAACAGACCTGCTTACAAGGCATTTATTTCTCTACAGAACATTTTGCATTCCCTTTTGAAGTCAACTTAAATTCAAATACAAACAAGGATTTAGAATATGAAAATATTGTGAGAATCTGACAGCATTGCAAATGAATGCAAGGGAGTTATTCAAAGGAGTAAACATTTATTCCAAATATGTATTTCCCTGCTTGGACTTTACAGGAACTCAATCATATTGACTCATGCAGGCGTAGGGACTAGAGACTGAGGAGCAGCCAAATTGATAAATCACAGCTTTCCCCCTCTATCTATCAAGCTGCTTGCTTTTATTCTGTGTTTGAGGAACATGAATCCTACCATTTCTCTCATGCAGGACTTGAGCCGCTCTCGATCCAGTTTGGTTCGGCCTGCCTGGTTCACATCCTTGTTGGCCAGTATCACAAAGCGACTGTAATTACCAAAAGACATTTAGTTTTACAGCAGTTTTAAAGCTTTCAGTGTCAGGAGAAACTCTCTGTATACTCTGTATCTGTAAAGAAAATCTCCAGGTCACAATCCAGTTTTAATACAAGTCCATGAATGATTGTCATCTTGTTGCTTGCCTGCAGCCGACGCCGAGCTCCTCCAGCACCCCCCTCAGTCGGCGCTCTGGAAAAGCCTTCTCCGTCTTCATGATCTCCTGAACATCATTCAAACCCTCTTCCTGTTGGGACACAACAAATACTGGAGCTCAGGACAAAACAAGCAGTTAGTGATCATGTGTTTATTTACAACACATATTTTACAAATGTCAAATACCCTTTATCTTTACACACATACAAACACATGATACTATTGTCTACAAAAGTATCCTTTCACAAGATAGACACAGTTTATCCAACCACTTTTTATATAGACAATAAAACGATTTCACTTGTATTAATATAAATGCTATCCCTTGTATAGAAAGAATGTAGTTTGTTTATTATGAGGCAGTGTTCCTTTACTTGTCTTCTTTTCTTTACCTTTTTGTGCCTGAATAAAGCTTCACAAGGCTGTTACCAAGACTACAGACTTATACTCTTGGTATTAATTACATGCCACATAAAAATTGAGGAAAGCATGTCCATTAAAGGTGGGGTAGGTCATTTTGGAGAAACCAGCTCGAGATCGCTAGAATTTGAAAATACACGACCGGAGAAAATCTGCCACTTCCTTACAGAGCCCCGCCTTCAACACACATGAACGCGCACATGACCAATGAGGGCACGAGATAAGTTTGTGCACAGATGGAAGGCTGACAGGCAGGTAGGCCATCCAGTTATTTTAGCCGGGCCGGCTAAAATGATTGGTCGTGCTTTTTACAGTATTACGGCTTCCACAGATGACATTTTTGATGGAATTTTTGTCAAAGCACTTAAGATATTCATTGCTATCGGGATGTTAAGAGCATTCCATGGAATATAACAAAAAGTGTATCTCGAGCCGGTTTCTCAAACTTACCTACCCCACCTTTAAGCTGAGCACATCTTTGCACATTGAGAATAAAAGTATAAACTGACCAGCTTGTCAGCGATCTTGTCCATCATGTTGGAGTTGTAAAGTCGTCTCCTCTGGTCCTGCCACCAGCTTTTGATGTAGACACAAGGCTTCTTGTCAAAGTAGGGAAGATGGAAGTAATTCCTGTGAAGTACAAACAAAATGTGTTAGTCCAGTTTAAAACCCTTAACTTGTGTACCAAGAACAATGTTTATTTAAAAAAGTGAATGTGTTGGGAAAAGTGTCTAATTCTTGCAAACAGTCTTCTCTGATAATTGTGAAGAAGGTGAAGCACTTTTAAACAACATCAGCAATATATCAGACATGGCTGTTTGCATGGTTGAGCTTGACCCAGTGACCTCTGACCCCTGACCTGTCGGTGATGACGGGCCTCATTGGAGGAGTGGAGGAGACGGACACCAGGTCTGCATCCTCGTCCGCCTCGTCCTCACTGGAGTTCTGTATGAGCTCGTTCTCCTCTTCCTCACTCTCCCCATCTTTCTTCTTCTTCTTCGCCGAGGAAGGTTTGCTTACACCATCTATCTGGTTGCCGTAGTTACCTGTTTACGGACAGATCATCGCACTGCCTTATTACAATGTCACATTTCTCTTTCATATTGTAAACGTGTGGAGGGCAGCTCAATATGAACAGGATTAGGAAAAAGGTTACGTTACCTATTGTGATTTCAAAACTTATTGGTTTGTCACCGATCTTCCTGTCGATCATGGTGGCCTCCAGGAAGGAACCGAAGAGGAAGAACTCGTCCATTTTCCCAGTGGCACTCTGATGAAGAGAGGAGGAGCGCGAACAAAACAAAGAGTGTAACATTTTATTGGCCTGAAGGGCATTCATTTTATGGTGGCGTCTGTGAAAGAATAACTGCAGCATCTGCTCTTCTCTGTAATTCACAGCGCACATAAAACAACCTGCCTCCCCTCTGAGTTACTGAGCCACTTCCATTGAACATTATATCTGTAAGTGCACTCATTATCACATTCTTTTCTGCCCTACGATTTCATTCATCCATGTGTTTGTTATTACATATGAAACAATACTCATTATTCCTTTAAAAGTATCATTTTGAGCAATACATCATGTCTCCAAGCAACAATACAGCTAGGCACATAGCGGCCTAAATCCTGTACACTATCCTGTTTACTGGACCCATGGCGAATTACATTTGAATACACTGAGTCAATTCTTATTTTTTAGTAGGTAAAAGACTAAACACAACTAGCACAACAAAAAAGGTTGCCATAGTAGCAAGTATTTGTCCTTGAATGCCCAAATATGCTGTGTCTTCAGTGTACAATGACAGGGTATATGCAGGAATCCTGAAGTCAAATGTAATACCTTTTAAGACCTTTTTTAAGACCCTTTCCATAAATGTTAAGACCTCATCGACACTTCGAGTTTTAACCGGTTAAATTGGCGACACACTTTACCTCACATTTACTATATACAGTATTGATTGTCCTTTCTCCTTATCTTCCAACCATTTGGACGCAAACTTGCATTTCCCCATAACGATGTTGTTTAACAACCGGCGTAAAAGGGCCTTCGCGCGCTATCAAGCAGTGAGCGTGCGATGTCCTGTTTAGATGACGTCAAATCCAACGGGATGCCATAAATACACAGAATCACACTACACACCTACGCAATGATTACATTCAGGCAGACTGTAGAATACAACCTCTTTGGACAATTTATATACTTATTGAAAACAAGCTACAACATTTAATACCTTGGAAAATGCCGTTTAATACTTTTTAATAGTCTTAATTTTCACTAAATTGATTGATCAACTTTTAATACTTTTTAAGACCCCGCGGACACCCTGAATGACTTAACAAGACTGCTGTTTTCACTATTTAACTATTATTTTACCTGGTTGGCAGCACATCTGCAGTCTCAGGGTTGTGTGAATGTCTTTTTATTTATTTGTGTTAGTGTTATTTATTTACGTTTCACCTTGATCCCAGAGAAACGTTCTCAATCTACAGGTAAGAGATAATACTTGTTTTCTGTCACACCACAAGTCAGCTAATTGCTTTGTTTCGTCGTTTTTTATATCCAATAATGAACTCACTATCTATTTCTTTGTGTTATAGATAACAAGTAATGAACACAACCAATCTCAAGTTCAATATTTAGAGGGTAGCTACATTTCAGAAGTGCATCACCTCAGGATAAACCCCTTGAGCTGTGTTATTGTTTTAAAGCTGTTCCAATTTACAGCATTTCTTCGATTAAATTATTAATCTGCCTCTCCTGGAAAGCAAAGTGCTCGACAACTGGCACAGACTCATACTGGCATCAATGACTGAGGCTCCCAGGGGACACATTAACAACACCAACAGCCAAGGGGTCGAATTGCTGCCAAACATGCCCTGGAGCAAGGCATCTAATGTTTCTGATTTCCCTGAAGAGCAGTGAACTGCACATGGGCCAATTGGACGGTATATTGTAGCATCACACAGTTTGTTGGAGTTCAGGGGATGTCAAACAGCCTTTTTAATTTGTATTCATTGATCACCGGCAAGGATAACAGCTTATTATTTAATGAAATTAATGGTTCATTTACATAACATAATATCCTCTCACGCAGGGGTGTCCAAACTATGGCCCGGGGGCAAAATGCGGCCCGCACTTACATTTAATTGATTTTGCTGCCTTATAACTTAACTTATGAGGCAAAATTCCTCACCTCTAGTGGGGGGCCCAGCCCTTCGTATATGGCTGTATGTGGCCCTTGGTGAACAAAGTTTGGATGGTTACATCAAAGAGACTATCCAACACCCACTCAGCTGTGTCAGATCTTCTCACCTCTGAGATGTTGGACACGCCCTCCACCTGCACCTCGGTGGAGCTCATGAGCTCAGGTGAAGTGGTGTCTAGGATCTCGACGGCCATGGAGATCAGGAGACGAGCTCTGAAGGACACGCCTTCTCCGAGACCCTCATTCAGGTCCTGGTGCTCGTCCATCAGAGTGTACTGACGCGTCGACCCGTACATGTTGACCCAGGCCGGACCCATGGTGGGCAGGAACCCTGGAGAAGGGAAAGGGAAAAGGAAATGTCTATATGAGAAACCTTTGACAATTTTATTTCAGGGTTTTTAAGTATCAACAGCCAGAGCATCAAACACTAGATCTTCACTCCTCTAGAAACAAAGAATGACTATCAAGCCTATGATCCTTATTGGGATTTAGTATTAGTCAAAATCTTTTTTTTTTTACTTTTTCACCAGAGCCACTTCTTTCATAGCTCATTTTCGTCAAGCCAGTGTTTAAAAGCAGATTTTATTTAATCACATTTGGCTTAATTTGAGTACTGTTTTAAGCTAAGCTGTTAAGTGTGCTGTTGTGAGAAAAACAGTGTGGATATTGAATGTCTTTTTACATTGAATTATAAGTTAATTATTTTTGAATTTCAGCAATGTTTTACTCTTGGTTGTCTGATCAGTCAAGATAGAAGTAACTGGTGATGCTCACCAATCTTTCCTCCATCTAGAAATGTGACAGCATTGCTGGTGTGTGGGGATTTAATATATGCTAATGTATGTATTGATTTCAAGTCAATTTTAATGTCTTCCACTAAATTCATACAGCCATTAGCAACGGGTCAGGTGGGTCATGTGGTTCGGATCACAAAGCACAGCTAATTACCACATACGCTAAAATATAACTAGCTAAGATTGACTAATTAATGTACCTGAAAGCTAATCAACTCCAACAAGAGGAACTGTGTGTGTTGACCTACCTTTGTCACCTTCATTTGATATCTTGCGTAGGTCAACAAAGTGGGTTCCTATGGCGACGTCGTTGACCTTATCCGAGTCTCGTATCTGGACCTTCAAGCGTTTGCAGAGCGGGGGGAACAGCTCGGTGAAGACCACCTGCTCGTTCCAGATGGGCTCATAACTGCTCTTCTGGACCGAAGTCTTCCCCTAGAGACACATGAAGGAGAAAGTCTTAGGAAGAAGAACTAAATACTAAACTGAGCTATTCTACTTCACAGACTTTCAGAAAGTAATAAATGTAAATTGCTCGTTTCTTTAAGTTCGTCCCAAAACAATGCTCTGCCCTTATGCAAATTGAAAGAATGTCTATATGCCATAAGTGTTTCCTGTGCTTATACTGGTTGCAAAGACAGAACATTAAAATGTGAGGCATGCAGGATGAGTTTCAGTTCTCGCTTTGTGTGAAAATGCTTTTTGGAGCTCACCAAAAGTTAATAGAAGGCTTCCGCAGCCTTAGTAAGATAAATGAATTAGATATTTGTCAAAGCTGCAGTTCAGTTAGTATAACATGTCATCTTTGTGTAACTGAACTTCTTCCACTTATCAGAAATAAAATCCTGTCGAAACAATAAGGAGGAAAAGAGACTCTAAAACTGCAAAGAATAATTGAATAAAATAAAATAAAGGTAGTAAAACCTATGGGTACCTAAAACAGAAATAATATATAATGGTTTTGTGCAGTGAAATTAAACTACGATATGTTTTCATTATGCCTCTCTCTTATAATGATATGTATATAGAAAGACATTCGTAAAACTATTTGATTACTTTAAAGCTTTACCGTCCAGGAAATTCATCATACAAATGCATGCATTCACAAAACCACAGGTATTGTAAGGAAGCTATATATTGATCCCTCTGGGAGTGCTAACATCACTAGAAAGGTAGCATAGCATAGAGGACTGAAGGATGTGGTGGTAGTTACTTTCTGCCCAGCAAACTGCACTTGAACATAGGGGTCCACCAGGTCTCTGTTCTCTCCTATGAAGGCCTTCTTCACATTAGCCATGATGTTGGTGTTCATCTTGGGAAGCCCCTCAGCACGGTAGATCTTCACATAAAACCTCGCCCACTGCCTCTCTGCTGGGATGCCTTCAGGGAGCAGGAGGTTCCTGCAGACAAACAGCAGCACAACAACTCATTCAGACAGATGGTGGAGTTATAGATTACACTTCAGAAAAGTAAAGCTCGTGGAAAAAGCTTTTAGAAGATTCTTGGTGATTGTTCAAAACGTTTTTTGAGAATGACCAGTAATATTAACACAGTTTTGGTAAATGTCAAAGTGATACAATTTTCAATATTGAGTATCTTCTCATAATCTCAGACATACTTGAATAGAAATCTCTATTATTTAAATGTTAAAATGTCTGTTATAGGGGGAACATGTACATCCACTGTAACATTTGTTATAGCACTTTACATCAGTAAAATGGAAATGTTTAATATTATTTTAAAGGGGACCTATCATGCAAAATGCACTTTTGTACGTCTTTTATACATGAATATGTGTCCCCGGTGTTCCAGGGAACTCACCAAGTGTCAGAAAACACAACCCTCTCTATTTTCCTCCATACCCAAATCTCTAAAAAAGGGGCTGCAACGGATCTGATACTGTAAAAACTGATCCAGATTTGAACACTGTCCTGATGTCAGGACAGTGGCACTACGGCTAGTGGGCCAACTCCACCAATCAGGAGGAGACAGCCACGGCCATTGCCGTTCGAAAGCGCTGGAGACGCTATAGTACATATGCCAGGCCTGTAGGTGGTGCTGTTCTCACAGAATCTGCCCTTGCAAAAACAGAGCTAACATTTTTCAAATTGAGCGAAATGAGGCATGGCTAAAATGCATGATCTGTTTGGTATTTTGAAAAAAAAAAAGTATAAATATGCCTTATATAGGTATGGTCCTACACTATATTATTCAAATATAGCATGATAGGTCCACTTTAAATGAATTAAATCTGAAACACAGCTCATTACGCCTCTAAATCGTCTTCATCAGTCTCGTTGGCTTTGTGCGGGGTCTTGATGTTGTCTCCCTTGCCGACCACAGCGATGTCACACTTCACATATCCTTTACACCCCGCTGTTATGTCGTCAGGATCAGACATGATGGCCCATTTGTGGTAAAACTGATGTTCTAGGATAAATATAAATCAAAAACATATTTAATTAAATCCAGTTTCACTTTGCAGTGAGCAAAAGACAACATGCATTTTCATTTTCAAATAGACTATGCCTGTATTTTATGATCAGTTATTCATTTTACCAGGCTGAGAGTAAACAGTCCCAACATCCATCTTGAAGTTTCCCACCAAGGTCCCACTCCGAAGAAGATTTTTGGAGTGAATAACCTGCGCAGAAAGAATTGAAGATGAAATATTTAGACAAAGAGTAAACTCTCGAAAGATTCACTATTGCATTGGAAACGTCCATAAATAATTCAGTAGGCTGAGTGTTATAGAGAGACAGATGGCCACGGTCTTTATGTGTAACTAAGGGCTGCATAATGTCTTCATAGTTTTACATTAAACATTATCTGTTACTCTCTTAGATCATTAATTAATCACTTTAATGCAATAACCAGCAATATCATTTTATATCCTCGAAGTTAACTGCGCATACCAAAGGAGGCTCTTGTCTGTTAGATAAAGTATTAAGGAGGATTTTCCTGAATAAAAGTCAATGTTTTCTCATTAAAATATTAAATTATGCAGCCAAGTGCTCCCAAAAAGAACCTGAAGTGTAATGTAAAATATGTAATGTTCACCAAACATGCACCGAAGAGGAATGATGGGGTGGTGAACGTTTGTTTAGCCGTACTGCAGTGTGTACTCTTGGGGTACGGATTACTTACTGAGATCTTGATGATCTTATCAAACATGACGTCAGGTGGGACGTGGAAGTCAAAGACGAAATACTGCAGAGAGCGGAAGAAAAAAAAGCTGTGCCCATTAAAATGTATTCCCATATTCTACTAGATAACACTTTTGCAGATTTGCCCTGGGAATAAAATATGGCAGGTAACTTTTAAATCCAGATATCAGTGCAGAGTTCACTTGAGGGGATGAAGAGAAACATGGTCATGTCATTTCACAGGAGATCATACTGTAGCCACATCACAGCGCTAATCCCTCAGGCTTTCAGTTCTTAAGCAAAGATTAAGCTTAAAGAAATGTCTGATTTAAAGTTTCATCATGTCTTTCCTGTAGGTGTGTTCAGGTATCAGTGTATCGGTGCTGCTATGCTATACATCTATACTACAGACAGGGCTTTGCAGGGTACACAGACACAGGAAAACTCAGATGTGTCTCATGAGATTTTGTAGTTCCACTTTGTTTGTCTTCTTTCATGTGAGTGCGTTGACAATAGAGGAAATAATCACACAGGGCACAGCCACATTCTTCACAACTGCACATCACTGACTTTTCTGCAGGCTACATCTATAACCATATGCCTCATATCACACACTGATCCCTGCCGGCATCACACACTGTTTCAAACTTTTTGCTGGATTTCGCAGGTTATTCATAACGCTAAATGTGAGTTCTGTTAGTACAGGATCAAATATGTATTCTAAAAGAAAGACTAAGCAGAGCAACAAGGACATGGCTGATGAAATGGGGTGACATTATATTTCTCATGATGATGTAGTGGTTGCAATATGATCAGTAAACCTTGAAAGACCAGGGATGATTGTAGTTTTCCACTGCAGCGCATTTCAGAGGATTATTTTGAAAGCGTGTGAACTTATCTGAACGCCGCAGCACGGGTTCAGAATAAACAGAAGGTTCTGGATACTTGGAGTGAAAGCATGAAAGACTATTATCTTGATCACTTTGGTTTCCAGTGTGTTTGTCCGCAGGGGATCTTCACACAAACAGAAGGAATCAATAGCAGACAGATTTCCTCTCTAAGCTCTGCACGACCCTCGCCACTGCCAACATTTACTATTGGGAGAGATTCTCTGCTGTTCAGGAACACTCAGAGCGGGTAACAACCCTTTAGTTAAGAGCTTAAAGGGTAGTATTTCAAAGTCAATAAATCACTACATCGGGACATCATAGAGAGCACTTACAGCTCTACACACTGAGTGAGTGTTTGGTTGAAGGAACAACAACAAAAAGGCACTAACTGATGTCTTCATGTTGAGAAACACCTGCTCTTACAATACCACTGTGATAAGATAAATGCACAGTATCAAACCAATCATGTTGTTTCAGGTCAATATAACTTGGTTTTGTAGCTCATATATTCACATTAACAAATGCTACTGAAAGCATGCAATATGTCTGGGGTGACTGAGGTAGCTAATACACATTTTCCTATTTTTTGGCATTAGTTATAAGGTACATAACAAACATTGTCATAATATTTTACAGGACCCATCCACATTGTACCTTTTTTACTGTATTAACACTACAATACATTTGAAATACTGTAGCAGGATTTGTACCTGCCTATATTTATATTTAATAGTATTATTGTTATTTTGAATTGAATTTGAACCTGATTCAACAACACATCAGTGTTGACCAGAATGGGATTTAAAGGGGACCTATCATGCAAAATTCACTTTTCACCAAGTGTCAGAAAACACAACCCTCTCTATTTTCCTCCATACCCAAATCTCTAAAAAAGGGGCTGCAACGGATCTGATAAAAACTGATCCAGATTTGAACACTGTCCTGACGTCAGGACAGTGGTGCTACGGCTATTGGGCCAACTCCACCAATCAGGAGGAGACAGCCACGGCCATTGCCGTTCGAAAGCGCTGGAGACGCTGTAGTACATATGCCAGGCCTGTAGGTGGTGCTGTTCTCACAGAATCTGCCCTTGCTAAAACAGGGATAAAAAATGTCAAATTGAGCAAAATTAGGCATGGCTAAAATGCATGAACTGTTTGGTATTTTGAAAAAAAAAAAGTATAAATATGCCTTATATAGGTATGTTCCTACACTATATTATTCAGATATAGCATGATAGGTCCACTTTAAGGTAGATTTTGCCAACTTAAAAGTATAACTAGAATAACGCATAGGATATACAAAATATCATCCGCCTTGGGAATATGATTGTTTATGATGAAGAAAGAAAATGAAGAATAGGATGAACAAATTGTAGTTGACATTCAGAGGTAAAAAAGGAAGTCATTATTAGTTTAAAGTTGTGTTTTTGCAGGTGGAACTTGTATACAGTATATTACTATATGAGGTCTCACATCATTGTAGTAGGGGCAGTTGGTGGACTCCTTCATCGACGTGTACTTCTTCTCGTCTCCGACCTCCACACACACCACAGGGTCCATGTTGAGGCCGATGAGCTGCCGGGCCTCGATCACCGTGATGCTGATCTGAAGGGAGACATAAGCACATGAGATATGAATCAGAGTTATCTCCAACAGTGGCAGTAATACAATCATCATACATCATGAAACAATGCAGCACTAACACTGAGGACAATTTAAGGCAAATACTAACAAATTGACCTTTCCAAAACAAATAATTCAGATTCCAGACAAGGAGTGCTTTTGCCAGATTACACTTTATTAGCCTCCCCAGGCAAATGTAGCATTGGATGGACAAACTAGATCTCAGTTAAAGGCATCTTCATCCAAGTAATATCCCTCTGGTCTAATTTGTCCTTAGATAATGAACAGAGGGAAACATAAAAAGAAAAGGAAGTCTGCACCCTAGGATTAAAGCAGGCTTTCATTCTGGTGAATTAATGTATCCCCAATGTTCTTTAACAAAATGGGCCTTGAATATAGGCCGTGAGTATGGGAGGACAGTTACACAATTATTCTCTTGTTTATTTTCTTTGAAATTGTGGAGATAAATTGCTGTCACACCGTTGTTATTGTTGTGCATATATGGGAGTGGTGTCTAGCAGAGGTGGGACCAAGTCATTGTTTTGCAAGTCCGAGTCAAGTCTCAAGTCTTTGCGCTCAAGTCCGAGTCAAGTCTCAAGTCTTTGCGCTCAAGTCCAAGTCAAGTCTCAAGTCAGGATGGGAAAGTTCAAGTCAAGTCCAAGTCCTAAACTTTGACAAAACGAGTCTTAAACAAGTCCTTATGTGCTTTTCAACAAATGTAATGACATCGATCAACAGAATAATACTTAATAATCAAACTGCTCTTTATTAGTCACATTAATCATTTAATAATCAATTTTCTCTCTGCTGGTAAAGTAACGTGTTTTCTTCTATTTTAAGAGGGATCAGTAAGGTAAGGCTACCGTGACGGTTTGATTCAGAAGGAGTTTAATGTATAAGATCCCTGATGTTGAGGTGACCAGAATGTTTATTTCCACTGTGTACAACATGTTATAAGGGACCCACAATCTATCTTTATGCAAGGGATAATGTGCAGCGAGGCGGTCTCTATGGGGAAAAGAACACCTGAATCTAGATCCCTCTGCAGGTGGTACTTTAAGTATATTTTGATGCTAATACTTTTGTACTTTTACTTGTAACATTTTGAATGCAGGATCTTTTATTGTAACCGAGTATTCCTACACTCTGGTACTGTTACTCAAGTACAAGATCTGAACTTCTCCCACCTCTGGCAATAAATCCTGAGTGGTTACCAAAAAAAAAACCCTGCTCTGAAGGTTATTTTCATTTTACAAATCCTGCACTCAGCTTTGCTTTCTCCAATATCATTGAAATGCAGCCAGATGCTGCTCCTTTTTTCGGTTTTCGCAAATTTCTTAACTTTTTTCCGACGCGCTTGCATTTAAATCCGGCTCTCCGTCGCTCTGTGTATCTGGCCTGTACCACTACACCTGCTGTCTTTGGAGCGTCTGCCCCCCACCCTTCTTTCACATAATGGTATGATCCTAGTGTGTCCTCGCATATGATTGGCCGCATGGTGGCTCAGCAAAATAAAGTCCCACCCCTGCCTGCATGGATTCTCAGCAAGAGTTGCAGCGGCTGAAGATTCTGCTCTCGCCGACGGGAGTCTGCTCTTCTAGCGGCATCTCGCGATCGGCGTGTTGGAGACCCCTGAATTAAATTATCAAGTCACCTCAAGTCAGAAGGCTCAAGTCCAAGTCAAGTCCCGAGTCATTGGTGTTCAAGTCCAAGTCAAGTCGCAAGTGTTTTGTGATTTTGTCAAGTCGAGTCCAAAGTCATCAAATTGGTAACTCGAGTCTGACTCGAGTCCAAGTCATGTGACTCGAGTCCACACCTCTGGTGTCTAGTATGTGTTTTTCCGAAATGACGGATAGTTTTTCTTCAGAGGGTAGCCTAAAGTTTAGCATCTTCTGCATTCACATTGAAGATGTGCTTTGGCTTCTTCCTCTTTCAAATCATCCTGCCAGTTGTACATCAAAATCAGACACAAACACACAAACACACACCTGATAATCCACTGGGCGTCCAGAGCTGGGCTCCATCTTGATATCTGGCTTTGACCTTCAGAAACACAATTTTGTTATTACATTCTCCTGTGCTCCAACACTGAGGTGGCAAATGATTACAGACTCAATTCCAAGTTTGAATCTGAAATTGTGCATGCTGTCGTTTTTCCATTCTCCCAGGCTGAATGTGTTTATTCAAATGTATGCCATTAAAAGGCATAACTTCAAGTTATCCTGCAGCATCAGCAGTTTGAGGTGTACAGTACTGAGTGAAACATTAAGGATGTGTGTGTGTGTGTGTGTGTGTGTGTGTGTGTGTGTGTGTGTGTGTGTGTGTGTGTGTGTGTGTGTGTGTGTGTGTGTTGGAGCGTATTCCCCTATCATGAGTGAGCCACATGTATAAGTATATAAAGGGAAGTGGGACGCCGCATTTCACAAAGTAGAAACCAATAGAGACCTCTTATTGGAGACGTTGGTGGTGACGGCGGTGACGGAGGCCAAAGAGATGGTGTCTGGGTCCACTGTCCCGGAAAGACGCATCGCCTTCCTGTCCAGGTCCTCCATTTCCAGGACCGCCGGCTCCTCTGAACGACAAAATCATAATCGAGACCATTAACATTAGCAATGGCGACCATCACCAGAGAGAACAGAATATGTGATGTTGGGAGGACCACAGCAGTGCCTTCTAATGAGGAGACTGAGGTCATGGCTTCTCTATTTTCTGGGAAAGTTTGGGTGGTTTACATTATGCAATTAAAAACACTCAATGTGGTTGGGTATTATTTTATTTTATATTTCATTTTGAACTAGCACCTGTTTCGGATTTGTAAGCATACCTGTCTGTACCGACCAGAGGTTGCGACAGGATCGTAACATTTTCGTCAAAAAAAGAATCCAGTATTACCCGTCGGTTTTGACTGTCAACAGTCAAAATGTGATTCAGACTTCGGACTGCTTTCAGATTTTTCCGTCATTGTTAAAGAAATCCGTCATAGACTGAAAATATTCGGTTAACGCGACCTCTGGTACCGACTACCCAGGGGAAGGTCAGAGAATTTAAATGAATGTCTGTATTTATGTATAATTTGCCAAGACTTGGAAGGAAAGGGGTAATGTATGTATGTGTATGTGAGCAATAACGTGTAGATTTGAGTGGACTGTAAACTGAGGCGGTTGTGATTTTTATGTACATCTCCATGTATGTTATACTGTATATTTGTGGAATAAATAAAAAATTCAAAATTCAAAAAGAAACAAAAAACACTCAATGTATATTAATAGGCTTATTCCAGTACTTTTGCTTTAATTGTCAATGTATATTTCACTAGTTTATCTTTGAGTCTGGGTAACATTTTCTCAGGGAGGGTGGGCTCAGACTTCAGTAACTTAACGGGCCTATATTTGTTTCCTCTAGCTAACTTGCAACATTTGAAAACAACTGTGAATTAACAAAATCTAAATATTATCTTAAGCTTGGGTTAAATGGGCCTTGTCTTGTGTCTTGAGGGTTGTTATACCTGCTTTCTTGTGATCATCCTTAGAGCTCTTGATCTTGCCGAGCTTCATGGCTGAGAAGACTCCCTTCCCTGCTCTGAGGGAGGAGACAGAGACAGAAGATAGGAGGAAAAAGAGAGAGGGGTCATACTGTGTATCATGATGAAGTGAACCTTTTGATTCTTTTTAATGAGATGCATTTTCCATCAGTACACTCAAAACCAAAAAGAAAAAATTTGTAAACTTTACTGATAAAACTTTGTACTGAACTTGCCTCAGACTGAAAACCCCATGAACCTCTCGTGGACTCAATCAAAATGCAACCCAACACCACAACGTTTGTCATGGATGTCTTTTTAACTCGGCTAGACATTTAATTCATGTGGATTTAATCCCCCTTCACCAACTCTCCAGACCCTCAATCTCAAAACAAAGAGTATCCTGTGTCTCCACATTGATAATATCTGGATCATATGTCACCACATCAACAAAGAGCTGGTGATGTCATCAGCGGGACGACAAATGAGGGGACTTAATAATTAAAAATAAGTGTGACCGTCCAATTTGCTGCGGATATGGATACATGTCAGGGAATTAATGAATAGGAAGGCTTTCCTTTTGTTTCTTCAAGCACAGCCGAGTCTATCAGAGTTTCATTTCTGCTTTGATCTTTCCCTCGTTATTCTAGAGGCAACCTTTAACCTCTTTTCATTGGATAAAGACAATTGACAGGTTCATGGCTAAGAGCCAAGAGAGATTTAAAAGCAAAAGCCTGGAGGCATGGGAATACGAATACAAAGAAGATAAAAAGCTTTTCCACTCAAATCAAAGCCGATCACGCCTGACAATGTGCACTTGGATTCTCATCCTACAATGTAATATAATATAAAGTGCAGTTTGACCAGCTGACAGTTAATTAAATAACAGTAAATGAATGAAAAACTAAATACATTTAAAATGTTGTTGAGTGTTACTGAAACCCTGAATCAATTAGATAATCAATAAGGCAATCTGCGGAAAATGTAAGCAATTTGTAATTCACATTTAATAGACCACAAAACGAATTAACTAACTGGAAAATCAATGTATTGATAATTAAGTTATTGTGCATTGCAGTCCTGGTTAATTGCAAAATGTGATGTTCCAGTTATCCAGTCAAGCTTGTTGTCCCATCCAATCTATGATACAACAATAATCTACCAAAACTAAAAGACAAACACACAATGTGTGAACAATATGTGTTATACATACCACATGAAAGACTACTGATCTCCACAGAGGTTGATCACAATACAAATCCCTGAAAAATATCCTCCTGCAGCTTTCTTATATTTGGAACTATATTTCCATACTGTTCACCTGTCAGGTGCACATCCTCCAGACCAGCCATGCAAGATAACAGATGCCCAGGAGGGAGGAGGGGAGGGAGAGAGGAAGAGGTGGAGGTACATGGCAGAACATACAGAGAGAGGAGGAGGAAGAGTGGAAGGATGGGGGGGGGGGGGGGGGGGGGGGGGGGGGGCTCTGTGCAACACTACTGTGCTACTGTACTTTAACACACAGTAGAGAAAACACTGAAGGTGTTTGGTTAACTATGCAGATGATAGCGGCAGCAACTGACTGTTTGGTCAAATCAGTGAGAGGAATCGCGGGTCAAATTACCACCAGAGGAAAACAAACGTTTAATAACAAGAGTAAACGTTAATATCTTAGTACCTTAAACCTTTTCTGATTGTAAAGTCATGCGTACACACTTAGTACATCAAACTTTCCTTTCTAAAATATTTTTGCCACAATAACAATGTCATGTCACTTTGGCCTTTGCTTCACAGAGAGGTCACAGTTACACATCAAGAGAAAATAAACATAGGTTGTTATAAGAGCAGTTAGGCAGAAGGCCATTAAGTCATAGCAGGTAAAGACAGCGATCTGCTGCTACTCTGTTGGCAGTAAGAAAGCATCCTCTGCACAAGAACAGTAATGGCCGACCAAAAGAGAGGAGATTTGAGGGAATATACATTGAGGCATCAAACTTGTCTCCCTATAATCTTCTTCTTTCATTTGTCAAGCCGCGTTGAGAGTGCATACAAGGACAAACATCAGACACAAACTCTTTCAGCAGCAAGTCATGCCTCGAGTTTCAAAGGAGATTTACCTTGAACGTTTTTCACTTGATTTTCATCCCTCGATGCAGAACTAATGACACATGCATTTATCAAATATGTCAGTGATGGGCACAATCCTGTTCACAAGTGGGGCTTCCAATTAGAGTTAATGGAAATATGCAAATGTTCACTTTACTTTGGTGGTTTGCAGAGAAAACTCTAAAAGAAAATATAGAGGAAAGTTGAAGAGGCTGTTAAAGCCATTATTTTCCTTTCCTTATTTTTCCTTTGATCTGAAATAATAAACAACATAAAAGCATCGGCGACTGCAAATTATAACTGATCATCAAGCAAACACAAACGCTTTTGAATGAGACATGAAGCTATGTGTTGCAGATATAGAGATAACTGTTGTAACATATTTGAAATAAAACAGATGTCTCAGGCTACATATGAACATGTTGCTCGTGCTGAACATTAACTGAACTGCATGTCTGGGGGTGATTGTGCGATAATCAATAATACATGAGAGCATGAATAAGTTGCTCAATAATTCCCAGGGTTATTCGCCCATACCTTGCAGCTTGATTTCCATCTCCGCCATAAACAGGGTCTCAAACTGTACATGAAACATGTTCCCTGCCGTTATGAGCATATCAAAGATGTGCATGTCAAGCAGTGTCAGGAGCAGAGGGGTGTGTATAATGCAGTTTAACCTAAAAGATGTGGCTTTGAACTTGCTGCCAGCAGAGGGTCAAAGTAAGACATAAGTGTGGTTTTTCTCCAAATTGTAATCGCTTTCATTGCTTTCTGTAAAAAACGTCAATGGACAACTCCTGTGTTTAACTTTTTTAGTTTAAGCTTGCAGTATACTGTATCTGTGCTCCTGCCCACACTGTGAGGGCAGAGGAGTTTCTTTGAATGATATCATTATATATCAATATTGTCAAAATGTGGAATCCCTTTGAAAATTTGGTGGATGATAAAAAAAAAAATGAACCGCCAGTGATCAATAATTCATTGACATATACTGTCCGTTCTGCTCGGGGGACTCTGCTGAAAGGAGCTCCTACACACCTGTCCCCCCTCCCTCACACACACACACAGTGGGTGCACACATATCAGAGCTTCTAGCATCCTCTGGACTGCAGCCAGCCAACGATTCGTTCTACCCGATAACACAGCAGGGGGTTGAAAACTCTCACAAAACCAGAACTCTCCTTCCTGAAAGATTATCGAATGCTCTGCAGTGCTCTTGCTCTAAATACTTTCTCATTCATTCTAGAAATACCTAGAATGACTTTACTTGGTGCTGCAGTAATGTTTTCCAACTTTGAAATGTTGTATGCAGTGAGACATCTACTTCTACATGTCAACAACGGATACAACGGAACATCAATATAATTTACCCCTATGATATCGGTATCTTTTCTCAAGTGCTGTTGCGTATCTGCTCAGAACGTTAATTGATGCAGCTCTTTTGCATGCCTGTGATCTTGCAAATGTTTGCTCATAACTTTACCCTCATTAGTGTCACACAGTAAGAAGCTAATGCAAGTTTAATGCCCTTATACAGTACCTTGAAAACAAGCGTGCTTAGAGCCTTGATGGCCTATATAGCACAAACAAAAAAGGGATAAGGGTTGTTTTTTTTACGTGTGCATTAATCTGATAAAACATATACCTCCACCATATTTGACAGTGTGTTTGTGTGGGTGATACTTCATCTGCATAATGCAAACTAAGGAAGAAAAGCAGCATGGTAGAGGAACATGAAGTAGGACTAGAAGAATGCACATCACAAAACCACTTTTTCTAAGAATAGCCATGACTGTTAAAATGTTAATATTCACTCCAAATAGCGCTCTTGCATTTTTTACTCTGTTATTGCATCAACTGGGCTGGAAATACAATATGATTCAGACTACTTTAAAAAGGCTTTCAGAACAAAATGTTCCCTTTTTCTCGACACCCCGGATGTCTTAGGGACTCCAAAGAAATGTCCTTTTAAGAATTCTTAAAAGTAATGATCTCTTAATGAGAAGAGATCCTTCCTCCTGTCTGGGACAAACACACAGCTGATGAAGAAACTAGGATTACCCCAGGAGGCATGTCTTCATTTCGTCATTGTCTGCTCCCACATCAGGGCTTGGAACAGAACAATAAGAAGAGGAGCTGACATACCGTCACAAAAGCTTGGAGAAAGAAGTTCCACTGCAAAGTACAGCAAACTGAAAGAAACACAGAGCAGCCCCGAGGCAATACAGCTACACGAGAAGAAAGACGGGATGTCAAAAATTCAAGAAATAGCTGCTTCAATCCAGCATTTGTCTCTGCAGCATGAGAGAAAGCAAGAGAACAGATAACAGTGCTTCAGATAATATAAAAAAACCTAGCCTATGGATAATGAAAAATCCCATTATAAGTTGAGTGTATAGATAAAAAAAAATGTGAAACTTAATAAGTCTCAAACTGAAACTCTGTAAATATGACCTGCTTTTGCAGTGTCAGCAATGTTTCGACTCACTGATCTGAAGGGTTTTCGTTTGCTGACAAGAGCTTACAGCTTTCGACAAGCTGACGGCTTGCAACAGCGTACAATAAATAAAGATGTCTAAAAAGCACCGTATGTGAAAAATAACTTTCCAAAAATGTTAAAGGCACAAAATCCACATGTAAAATGAATATACCGATACTGTTAAACAATAGCATGTTTGTGTTTTAACTGACATGTCTGTTGCTATGGATGTTTCCACAGTGAGATAAGAGGCCTGCAACACCTGCATTATTCTGCATGTGATGATACATTATCAACATGCAGTCTTTGAAGACACAGCACATTACACTTATGGACAAATGAATCACAAGCAGAACATTTGAATAAATAATTGAACACTTGTTTCAGTAAATCCTTTCAGCAGAAGCTCCACCCGGGCAGAATGGTCTCCTTTGAGTGCCAATCTGATGTTATGCAAATGATTCATGCACATTAAAATAATTTGAACAAACACAATGACTCTTTAAAGCAATTTCAGTTTCAGTGAGGCAATGCCAAATCATTTACAAATATTTTCTGCAAGAGAAAGAAGATGCTGTGCTGTTAGCCTGTTGCACCAGTGTCAAAGTAGCATCTACCACTAATATGCAAACTCATTTCATCTCTTTGTTCATTTTCTTTTCCAGCGTTTGATGTCCACAGATCAAATGACAATCGGAGCCTTGGATCCATTCTCTTGTTGTCTGGCACATGTGCTCCCATGCATGCACTATTCAGCAGATCTGCTTCACTGGCAGTGAAACCCCCCCCATAGGTTGATTTATTTATTTATTAGGAATAACAAAACCCCTGCAAAGCCGGCGCATTGTGGTATCGCAGATAACACAATGCGCTTCATGGGCACCGCCATAAATCATTCTGCAGGACCAGAGATGATGAAGAAGCTGCAGAGGGACGTTGAACTTTGGGCTCAATTTCACTCAATTAAGGGGATAGGGAGGAACCAATACGCCATAACAAGCCACCTACGCTCTCATGCAGTCATAATGAACAGATATAATGAAGTGAATTCCCCTCTGAAAACAGTAATAAGCCCAAACTCTCCCGTAAGCAGCATACATGACCTTTATGCTGCAGGCAGGTGATATCATCGAAATAGACAGCAGTAGGCTGAACACCGAGTACCATGTTTGTTCTTCCACTGCATTTGTGAGTGGGAGGAGTTGTGTTTACATGTCTCTCAAGTGATTTAAATACAAAATTGAACTCTTAAACTCTTAAAGTTTTAAGTTCAAAGTCTCAGATTGACTTATGGCAGCAGAAGTTGTGAGATGAATAACAGCTAGAAGTGACAAGAAGATGTTAAAGATCATGCATATCATGTATTTATTTTTGCTATGGATATAAATGTCATGTCCTTAAATGTTGTATGTGAGGGACTACGGATGGAAATTAGCTAAAAGCTCAGATCCGGCATATTTACATTTTGAAGCATTACTTGTTAAAAATGTTCATCAATGTGCATTGTCCCTCTTCAAATAAACGATTAAATGAAATGAAAAATGACATTCTATGTATTACTCCCCCTCCTCCTATTTCACATCCCAGAAGAACAACATCCCCGGTAATCATCTCCTGCACATTAACCGAATAAGAAACGTTTACTGGCTGCAGTGACTCAGTCAGAACTCAGGACACAATGAAACATCATACCAACTTTTAATTCTGAAAACCTCTAAAGCAGAAATCCACTGAGCAGCTGGCGAATCAGGCTATAACGGGATTCGGATGAGAAGTGACAAGGCTATTAAAATCCTTCCACAGGCCCATCAGTCCGGCCAACACCGGTGTGAGGTACATGAGAGCTGGATTTGTTGGGATTGCTGGGAGTTAGTTGGCAATTTCTCAACAACTCTCAAATGCCCTAGAGCAGCCCTTGCCAAGTCTGACTGACAGCTCTGAGGAGCAACTAGATAACAAGTGCCCTTGTCAAGCAGCAAGGACAAAGAGCTGCTTCACCTACAGAACGTTAAGGAAATGTGATGAAAGTTGATGTGAAACCTCATGAGCTTGGTGATTGCTTTCATCCCGCTTTCATTGAAGTCTTTTACAGTATTTCTCCACAGCAGTACTTTTTTGTACAGAAACTAAACACTGGGTTGTGTTGTGTAATACCCGTGGGATGCTCTAAAAGTTAAGATTATTCAAATGTTCTTATTTTCTTCACGCTGCTTCGAGTCTCACATCGGCAGAACATGAACAGTTTTTTGATTCTATGCTGTAAGACAGTGCAACTTCGCCGTTCAGTGTCAACAAACAAAAATAAAAAACATGTGCCCGACAGCATTCAGCCTTGCTCATACACAATTCTTCACAGGCCGATTCGACTTTACTGCATAATGATGGATTTAGGGGTCTGGCAGTGCAGATAGTCTCACTGGAAATCAATACCACCCACAGATAATTTCACATATATTCAGCAAAAACACGACAAGCAAACACAGAGGGAGACTCAGTCATACTGCAGTGCTGTGGGGCTGGGGGTCTTACAGTTTTTCACCAAACCTCGTACAGGCTTGGATTGTCTAGTATTATTAACTAACTGAAAATGCAATGTATTATAAAATGCTTAAACAAACCATGCAACTTCAGCTACTATGTTTTTTTCTTTCTGCAATTTGAAAGTTTGCATAGATGTACATGATACATTATTATTATTATTATTATTTTGCATCCACCCAGGGCCAACAGAATCCATTCATGATTTTTAACCCCTTAAGTGATGGTGGTAAAAAAACCTCCTTTCATTCCTACAATGTTTTTATTATAACATACCATTTCTGTACATTTCAGAGTACTCAACCAGCAGGGACATATGTTGCCTAAAGCACTGTCAGACAAACAGTGTACAGTTCTCTTTTATAAAACTTGCCACCCACATTACCCACAATGCAACTCAACCATTGACCCTTCAGTTGAGTGGATGCGTTGTGCTAGAAGCAAAGATAACTTTTCATTTTCAAACTTGCAGTTTTCAGCCCCAACCACTGCTGACTCAAGTCTCTCAACTCACTGAAGGCAAAGGATCAGACTTCACGCAGTGTCCTTTAGAGCCAAAAAAACACTTTATACACCTTTTTGTAATCTAACAATCACAAAGGTAGGAGTTGATCCCAGTCCCTGCAGTCAAACAGGTTGATGTATCCTTGGGCAAGATACATAAACCCAAATTGCTCTGCTTCTGTAAGAATAGTTGAATGCTGACTTGTATATGTAAAGCGCTACGAGCGGTAGTAAAAACTAGGAAAGTGCTATATAAACTTGCTATAAAAATGCAGTCCGTTTACCATTGCATACTGAAACTTCACCGTTTTTACCATTTGTGAAGTTTCCCTTTAATTTGAGAACCTCTAATGTGTCAAATGTAACATCCTTATGAGTTAATTAAGAGAAGAGACACTTAAAACAATTGATAAGACACTTCTTAGATCAAATGCTACCTTCATTCTTCCTTTTATCCCTCTTCATTTAAGACGTCATATCTTGAACGTTTCCTTTCCTGCGTGTTTACGAAACCGAGACCAAATCTCTACAGCCATGCTAGCAGATCTCTTAGGCTGCACATCGAGCTAAAGCTAACATTAGCATGCTAACATGTGTTTCTTTGGTATGACTTATTGACTAGATGTGTTCAATATAAAATAAAGCCCATTATTGTCAAGGTTTAATGCTGTATGGTTTTCTTAAGAGTCATGCTTTCTTTTGAATTCAAACTGTTATACGATGTGTCTTGGTTGATACTGTTGCACTGCATTGCATCATTAGCAGCACATGACCTAATGATCACTGTCGTACTGTAATTCAAACTTTGCACGAACATTGACTACAGACACATTTGTATCAAATACTGTACTAGCAGGTTTACAGAATACTCTGTGTCAATCTGAATCTCAAAATATGCTCCTTTTTAGTCAACAGTGTCTGGTGAATATATTTGTTGATGTTTCTCCCCATTGTAATTAAGCACAGGACCCTTCAGGCTGCACAACAGGGACAGATTTTACAACATCTGGACAGCATAAAGCATTATCAGTGGGCAATCTGTCAATCTTATAACATGTGTGAATGTGTGCCGCAGTAGGACTGTTACTGTTAATGATCTCCTAAACTGAAGTACATCATTAAAACAACACATCTTGTTTGCTGGTGAGGGGAGTCATCGAATCCCTATTCAGAGGCCAATCAAAAGGCATTTCAAAGCCTGAATCACGGTAAGGCAGTCGAGTAATATTTGAGAAAGTGTGTGTGTGTGTGTGTGTGTGTGTGTGTATGTGTGTGACTCACTTCCTGAAGGTTGGTATGGACCCCTGTAAGGTTCGTCCAGGAGGCGTCCCAGACCCGTGGCTTTGACTTGACAGCAAGCTCTCAGTTTCAAAGGCGAACATCCCATCACGGTCGTCAGGAACATCCAGGAACTCCCCATCGCTCCACACTCCCACAGCGCCATCCATCGACTGGTATTTGATCTCTATGGTAACGCTGGTCTGAAAACAGCATGAAAGCAGATGAAAGTCAGCCAACGTTATCAGCAGATAGCTAATAAGCCTTTATTTCTATACAGGTCAGAGTGCAGATTTTAATTTTAAGCATTTATAGGAAAGATTATTTTATCATGAAGCATCAAAACCATTTTTATATCTATAAAATGTGCCACTTTATTCAAATCAAACTCTTGAGCAGATCTGATTATTTCTCCATTCAGCTACATCCAGTGTGCCTGTTAGCTCTCTTCCAAAATACAACCCCAGGTCTTTATGACATGTCCTAACAAGAAACTATAACTGCAAAATTGAAAGAACAATTGATGTCCCTGACACTAATATAATTTGTCAGCGCTGTCATTACTGTTATAAATTATACTCCTTCAGCTGTCAAGATCATTTCAAATGACTTAAATAAGCCCTGTGATTCAGAAGCTTGCGAAATCCTATACAAATATAAAAAATGTTCAGGGTTGTATTGAACCCTGTACAATGTAGTTATACACAAATATAATACCTCACCATCTGTGGTACTGCGACAGGATATTTATAAATCAATCTAAACCTTTAGTGAGAGAGTCAACCCCTCCAAGCTTAGCCTCAAATAAACAATAGCAATTTAATTATGTTTAGAAAAGTTCTCAGCCAAGACAACAAACCAGGACTATAAATCATCTGTTTTACTGGGGGGGGATTCGGACTGAAAGTGAGTGTTAGTTTAATCCCGGCCAGAAACATTTGTGACATCGTAGTTTGTCTTCTCTGTCTCCCGGGGACTCGTGTTTGGAGAATATAATCCTCCTGACGATGACCTCATCTTTAATAAGAAGCGGACAATTTATTCTACTGACAAAGACGGATGAGAAGAGAAAATTCTCGGGGCTCTCGTTCCCCCTTTCTCCCTCCATGTCGCTCTCGATTTCCAAAATCCTTTGCAAAGCAATCACTGTGGTCCACGAGGAGTTAGGAGTTGTCACTATGGCAACCACACCAGTGCAGTTGTAGGTACAAGGAGTTATCTCTCAGGGTGTGTCGGATTTAGTTTTCTCCTACAGGGATGTAGAGTACTGATAGTCTCTAATATTCTGTGTCTGCTTCGGTGTGTGATTTCATGAGAAGCTACTCGCACATATGTCTGTTTGTGTGTGTGTGTGTGTGTGTGTGTGTGTGTGTGAGCCCTGAAGCTCTCCCATGCCGTGTATCATCATGTCACCACTTACACAATCCTGCACATGGGGAGCTTTGAAACCACATACAGTCAAGTTCCCTCTCACACATGCTATTATGCTGCTCACACACACACACACACACACACACACACACACACACACACACACACACACACACACACACACACACACACACACACACACACACACACACACACACACACACACACACACACACACACACACACACACACACACACACACACACTCTTACATAATGTATTCACCAGCTAAATGATCCTAGCCCTCCTCCTCACCACGGAGCTGGACCCCGGGAAGACGTGCTTTTGGGCACAGCTAATGGGGAGCCTTTAATAAGCTTTGAACTGAGCCGCTCCCAGTTAAGCTGATCTAAACACTATTTTCAATCAATAGGGAATATAGGAATGAATGTTAATGGCAAATGTCCTCATGTGCTGATATTGCTAAGAGACTGTTGTATTTCATTAAGTTCCTTCTCGATGTGTAAGTCTTAAACGCTGGTGTTTTTATTGGCCAAATGACAGCTGTTAGTTCTCCTATTGCAGACCACTGCAGGTGTATTGGAAGATTGATTTCTCCATTAAATTGTGATTGCATTTTGCTGACTGATAAGCTTTCATTTCAACTTACTGCTGCAAGGAACAGAAAGCCATATCATTTGATCTATATAAGCAACTTGATTTTAGCTTTGGTCACCTGTTTTTGGACTCTAGTTATCCCCTTTAATATGAGTAAATAAACTCTGCATTAGCTCTTCCTAGCTATGCAAATAAATATGTAAACCCCAAACTCACCATATTAAATATTCCAGATGTTTTGCGCATCGTTTCATACACATTTCTCAAAATGTCATCCTGACATGTTTGGTAATTCTCACTTTAATTTTGTATATATTTATGTTCTGGTTATTCAGCATTAGTTTGTTAATGGCTTGAGTGGGGTTGAAGAGGCTTCATGTAAATTGTGCTTACTCCACATTTTAGATCACCAGTTAACATACCCATGCCAGCGGGTAAATCTGCATTAAAGCTGGAGCGCAGCCCATTACATTCAAGGCCTTGCCATAGGACTTCACACTATGCTGATTAAGCCTTTTATAACCAAGGAAAACTCTCAGTACTTTGCAGTATACCAGAGTTTTGGTGCAAAAATGCCTGCAGGTGAGTTTGCTCCATCTAACCAATTCCCAGGAGCGAGAACATTAATCCTTTCTCTAAATGTGGCACTATTTTTTTTATGTGAAGCATCCACTCTAAAACTTAAGCTTCCGTCATACCAATCAAAATGTGGTTGACTTATAACGTTTTTATGATGAAAATGATCAATTTAAAAATGCGTAGCTCGTAGCAACATAGCTTTCCTTTGGAGTCACAAAATCACTCTGATTGACACATTACAAAAGTTCCAGAGATATCGACCAGATCTTTTAAAAAAAAAACCTCATAGATGGGCTGATACTTCAATGTAGGTTAGTTAATTGTACCTTTATTGACGTGTTGTTATCGTCGATGAGCGTGTCGGTCAGCTCTAGGTGTCCCTCCTCTGCCACCTTCTGAAGAACCATACAGAAAGTCCCCACCAGCCTGCAGGGAAACACCAACAGAGAGAGATCAATACACAGCATGACATCAACACATTGTGTCTTTTGTTCCTCCCGTCTGTTTACCTCTGTGTACATTTATAGTCTATATTAGTCTCTTTTTTGTCATTATCAGACCCACTTATTATTACTGCCATATAGTTCTTTTTGTACGTAGGTCCAAACAACTCCTTCTCACAGAGTGTAAGTGATAGAGTCATGAACAGACTGTGGTGGTGGTGATATGTGACAGACATTGAGACAGTGCTACTCTGCCTGTGTCAGCAGCCAAATACAGTATGTCACTCAAAACAATCTCTTTCCTCTAACATCTTCATTTTATGTCCTTATTTTGTACATGATGTTAAAAGTCTGAGAAACGCTGAAGGTAAGCAGTTCTTTTGTTTGTTTGGAGGTAACTTCACAAGGTACTTTTAACCTTAAAAGACATTTACTCTTTTTCCCTGTAACGAGACATTTCCTAGGTTTCCTACTGAGAATCTCACTTGGTTTGTTTATCCATTTGGCAGCAAATTGTTCCACTTCTTTGTTCTGCAAATGTTTCAGAAAGCGAATTCTCTAAAGCTTTCAACACATTTCAGCAAGAGGCAGAAATTCTCAGCCAACTCTCTTAAGCACTAATCAATGCCACCAAGGACACGTATATATAAATGGATAAAGACTCACAGTTCCATCTAGCACACTGAATGAAATTGTACTTTCTAAAGTTGACTTTTCATTGCAAGAAAAATAGGTTTTCACCTTTTATCTCAAAGTTAGCAGAAGCCAGCAGAGACATCATCTAAAACTTCTAAAATAATGCATTTTGAATTTCACCGTTTTTCTTTAAATTGGCCTTTTAAGATACATACACATAGCAATGCAAGATAAAAATAACGATCGACAATTATGGTCACAAATCATAAGTTATTGTGATATATTATTTATTATAACCAGTTTGTGATATGTAAATGTGGTTTGTATCAATGTCCAAGTCTTAATTATGATAACAAGAATGACTTAAATGTATTGGATATATAACCAATTAGGGAAACATTATAATTTGGAATAAAATAATTACTTAGTTGAGGCTCAGGAGACTTTTGTTTCATGGTTGGAAATTATTCTTTGACTGCAGTATTTAGGATCATTAGTCGAAAGGTTCATTTCGATGCCACCTAAGGAACTTCATAGAACATGACAGTGGAAAAAAAAAACAGTAGAGCCCCCATTCAGCCAGCCAATTAGAGCTGGTGAATAATTTAAAAAGTTTCCCCCAAAACAGCTGAGCAATCAGCCACATGCAGCGCAGCCCACTCTGAACCACACACATAGAGTAAGTAATGTGTGCTCTATTAGTCACTAGCTCACACAACATGGTTACACATGGAGTGAAAATATACATATACAGTATAATGTGTTTTATTTTGAATTCCTACGCTACAGACAGGAGAATATATGTGTACAATTAAATGGAGCAACAAAACACACATGTGCCGGATACGAGTCCGCAGGGAGAAATAGTATCATAAAACAAGGGTATACAATCAATAGCTCACCACTTGGCACACACACACACACACACACACACACACACACACACACACACACACACACACACACACACACACACACACACACACACACACACACACACACACACACACACACACACACACACACACACACACACACACACACACACACACACACATACACACACACACACACACACACACACACACACACACACACACAGAGAGAGAGATAGAAGAGGACCGCAGGGATGGCAGCTAACGATGTGAGCTTCCCGACTGCCCTATAGACATGTCAGTGAGACAGGAGTGAATGAGTGCAGTACACAAGTATTCCTGCTCCGGAGCACAAATATGCTCTTTATCACATGCTAGTATTCTTTCACTCTCACTAGATTCACTTAATGAAAAAGCAAATCATACTCATCTACACTTGCCGCAACTCAAATAGATTTCTACTTAAGACAATTTGAATATGTGCTGTTTGGGATACCTGTTCACCAAATCAGAAGCTTCTTCAAATGGTTCAGGAAGAGTTTTAATTTCTGTCTCAGCGTTAGCTCACGATAGCTTGCACCTATCTGACTAAGCATAGGGTCCCTGCAGTGCCAGAGGAAATACATTTTTAGATAGTCTCTTGTGTTCATGATATTCCTAAAAATGTGAGCAACTATCAGCTTTTTTTCTCCAGTAAATGCAATCATTGTAGTGTCGAAATGCACGTCAAATCCTTTCAGATATCACACATTCTCTTATTTATTTATCAGTAAATTCATTTTCTTTTCCATTTCTTTTTTCTGTATCTCCATCTCACCTATAGGTCTTCTCACCTCTGGAATTGGTGGGGATAAATCCAACTTACCGTTGAAAGTGTGGCTACATTTGTCAGCAGAGCTTCAAAACTTTATAATAAGGTACATTTAGAAACCTAGAACTTGACTTAACTCTGAGTCCTGGTTTTGAAAGAAAAAAAGTATGGGTTTCCCCTCAGGCGCTGACAGATGCTTTCTCTGTGGAGGTGTATTTCTGCCAGGCTCCCACACTGAATCTCTCTCTGCTCAACTTAAAAGGCTTGACTGAAAAAGAGTGTGTGTAAGTATATTAATGTTCTTTTGCAGTCAACTTTTTCTTTGAAGAAGAGTAGGAACTTCAGCACCTCTGAGCAATATCTCTGGAATTACCAACCTGCCACACTATAATCCTCTCTTCCCTTCCCTGGACAGTGGAGATCAATATGTCTGTCAAATTGGCCGGTCATTTCCTTTCAGCCATTGTAACATGTGTCCAAGTGCTGAATAATTGAACTGAGCAGGGGCTATCATGTTCTGGCTCACTTTTTAGCACTTCAAAAAGGTGTCATTCATTATTGATTCTAGTTAAAACAATTTACTTTCAACTGCTTCATAATTCACAACTCCCTTCCCTTTCAATTCATATTCATTTTTTGCATGCCTCAAGTTGCTTTTGCCAATCGAGGCGTGACTATGACTGATTCTCTGGCTCAGGAGAACTTGGAGAGAAGGGAGCACAGCTTTGAAATGTAAAATATTTGTTCCAAGTCAAATAGAATTGTTCTCAAGGTTTCTCTAATCCATCCCAGGTGCCAGGGACTCAGCTGGAGGACAAATTAAATGTTACAGCTGCCAGGTGTGTGTGATTTGTTGGAGGGGAAGCTTCAGCAAAGCACTGCCCTCCACCGGTGTACTCACACTGATATGAGCTGAATAACATTCAGCCAACATGTCTTTCATTGGTGTTCAAGCATGAATATCTATTGAGTCACATAAACGCAATCAATAGTCTAGTCTTTCACAAAAACTGGACAAAGACAATCATAATGGAAACTGGTAACCACAAACAATATAAAAAGGTATTAAGACTTGTTTTCCATGCCAGCTTCAGCATGTCGTGATATTCCGGTGATTCGTTTTAGGAAGCCAATTTGTTTTTGTTGATATAGTCAGTGTTAATGAAAAAAATAATTGAGAAATTGCGTGTAAAAAAAATAACTGAAAGGAATGACTGTTTTTGCCAAATGAAGCCAATTAGATTGAGTTGTTTGTCACATTTATCCAAAAATAAATATATAATAATAACATAGGAATCCAATATTGTCATAAGCAGCACTGCTTATTGAGAAACGACTAACTCAACCATATGTCACTGAACTACAGAATCCAAATCAACATTAGAATGTGTTTGTGAATGTACAAACCCACAGTGCTCATTCCAAAGCGTCAGGCATGAGAGAGTCTAGATACATCTAACAGAGGAGCAGGTTAATGCTTTTGATTGCAGAGTCTCTGTACACGAACAGTAAAGTCAGATAGGCTCTGTTGCCGGGCTAAAATTGTATTTCCTCTGAATGAAAACCATAAAGATAATCAGAAACTCGGAGAGGCGATAAAAGAAATTGCACGATTGTAATTTTGCTGAGATCAAAAGCAGAAAAGGAAAGAGGGGAGATTCACTTAAGCTTCCATAATCGTTTTATCTTACCTGAGAGGAAAGTAGTTGCAGTAAAACTCAAAGGCATTTATAAAGATAAAACAGAATCACAAGAGTGAAAGAGTTCCACAATTTCACGTGTCTTTCACAGAAGAAGGCAGATCTTATAACACTAGAATTTTTTTAAACTTGTTTTGAATCAATATGTTTTTTTGTCAGGTATTGTGTCCGCTCAGCAGGGAGAGAACAAATTCAGTTTTAAATATTCAAGCCTGGTTTGATAATAATGCTGGGTGGTGTGCAAGAGTTTCACAAACAATCAGTAAACTGTGTTACCAATAGTGTAGAATACAGGAAGCTGAATTAAATCTGTCTCAGTTTGAAGTGGCTTACTGCAGGTTCCTGCCGGGCAGCTCATAAAAGACTGAATCAAAATGCAATATTAAAGGGGACCTATCATGCAAAATGCACTTTTGTACGTCTTTTATACATGAATATGTGTTCCCGGTGTTCCAGGGAACTCACCAAGTGTCAGAAAACACAACCCTCTCTATTTTCCTCCATACCCAAATCTCTAAAAAAGGGGCTGCAACGGATCTGATAAAAACTGATCCAGATTTGAACACTGTCCTGACGTCAGGATGATGGCGCTACGGCTATTGGGCCAACTCCACCAATCAGGAGGAGACAGCCACTGCCATTGCCGTTCGAAAGCGCTGGAGACGCTGTAGTACATATGCCAGGCCTGTAGATGGTGCTGTTCTCACTGAATCTGCCCTTGCAGAGCAGAGCAAAAAAAAAGTGCAAATTGAGCGAAATGAGGCATGGCTAAAATGCATGATCTGTTTGGTATTTTGAAAAGAAAAAAGTATAAATATGCCTTATATAGGTATGGTCCTACACTATATTATTCAAATATAGCATGATAGGTCCACTTCAAATAAAAAAACAAAACCAAAACAGCTACACAAACCTTACAGTTGTGAGGACTTGGGTGGAGAGAGCAAGATGGTGTATGATATTTGAATCAGTTCCAGGTATATCCCTCCATCACATGCTGATGCTAGCCTGCTTGAAACGTGATATGGCATCTTGTTTAAAAATGTGTAAAAGAAGGATATCAGACTATAATTGTTTTTGTAAGGCGGTACTGGAAAAGTGTCAAATTGATCTAGTGATGGCTCCCTTACTTGTGTTATGGAAGTACAGCAGTGGGTGTTGGAGAAAAAATATTGATTTGGATCTGTAATGGATGGATTTTTTGTGTAGTTTTGATAAGTTTGGGAGTCTGAATTTGAAAGCGCAGTGGGAAAGAAGAACCACAATCCTGTTATAATGCATGTGTTAATTTATGTTTAGCATCCTAATTTGAAAATAATAATATACTGTACTATGCATCCCAGGATTAAGGCTTATCAGACTCTGTAACCTGGCAGAGCAATGGGAGACATGTTGTGATCACTCTGGAAAGGTATCATGCAGGCCACTACTGCAAAACATGGATAACAAAATATCCAATTCTTATTCAAAGGACCCCAGATATTCTTCTTTGGACCCTCTGGGAGCCACAGACATCAGGTTGAAGACCTTGAATAAACAATGACATATCCTCCTCTTTGCTCCAGTGGCCAGTAACTGACACGCCGTGCTGTACTCCGCAGCGTGCAGAATACAAAAGCATATCTCTCAGCCTCCGCGGACAACAGTTCATAAACACGGTCAATATGCCACTGCAGCACAGTGAGCGAGCACCCCCCCCATCATCGCACTTCCTTTGTGTCGTAGTAATGTGATCGCACTTGTGGTCGCACGGTGTGATACACTGGCCCTACAGTGAGTTGGTGCAGACAGTGATGAAGCAGATCAGTTACCTTGGTAATGATGCTGTGTGTGGACATATGGAGCAGGTGTGAGAACAACATAAGCTATGACTCATCTTGAATTATTTACCCACTTACTGTAAATGAGTGCCGCGTTGCATTGTGTTGTGCAGTGTGTGTGTGTGTGTGTGTGTGTGTGTGTGTGTGTGTGTGTGTGTGTGTGTGTGTGTGTGTGTGTGTGTGTGTGTGTGTGTGTGTGTGTGTGTGTGTGTGTGTGTGTGTGTGTGTGTGTGTGTGTGTGTGGGGGGGGGGTAAGTGTCTTTGCATGTGAGAGTACTTGTTTTTGTGAACATGATTCTTTAGGTGTATAACATTATGCTGTAACCCCCTGTGCATGTGAGGCTTAGTTGTTATCCAGCAGTGAGCGGATGAAACAATTGCATCTGGTATAAATAGAGATACCATTAACCCCCCTTGTTTTTCTTGCTTATTACCTCTCTGATGAAAAACTGGAATCCACAATTTTTGTGATGAAAAAAGTAGACCAGGCCAATTAGATAGATATAGGGAGGCGAGTGGCGTAGTGGGTTAGTCCGTTGGTGTTCGGATCAGGGGGGGCACAGGTTCAAACCCCTCTGCAGTCAGCATGTCGTTGTGTCCCTGGGCAAGACACTTCACCCCAAATTGCTCCTCTGGGAATTGCCCACAGTATTGAGTATGTAAGTCGCTTTAGATAAAAGCGTCTAACAAGTAACATGTCATGTAATATAGAAATGTCCTAAATAAAACTTCAGCATCTTAACATGCTAACATTTGCTAATTGGCATTACACAGCAGTAAGGCTGAGGCTGATATATAGGTCATTCGTTTTGCAGATATTGGGTCATAAACCAAGGTATATGACACATTGAGATTTTGACCAAATAGAAGTCAGCTAAGTTTTAACCCCAAGGAGGACATGAATGTCTGTGGCCAATTTATGGCTAACTTTCAGACCCTTCAACCTCATGGTGGCGCTAGAGTAAAAGACAGAGGTTCACCATATTCAACAGGATTCGTCCACTGGGATGTCTGAAAACAATGTTGTGGACATCAATCAATTAGATGTTGAGATATTCAACAGGATAATTGAAAAAGGACCTGCTGGTAGGGCTGGATAAAAAGTGAGGGGAGATTGACAGAGTCATCAGATGCATCCTCTGTGCACTCTTTGAATTGTCATGTTTAGCTGTCCTGTTTCTGTTCCCTCTTCATCACAATGGCACCAGAAAAATCGCGATGGCAGTTTAGAGCTGCCTTGACACAGAACTGATACAACATCTGTCTGCACACCTGTTAGCAGCTTTTAGCTCCGTGTCTAATTTGTGACGGGATGAGAAATGTGTCCGCACCTACAACACATGCTTTCACACACAGCAGATAAGGTCACACAGAAAAAAAAACACAAAGACATTGATACAAACACATACATCACTACCCACACACACACACACACACAGTCAAGCATACTAATGAGTGTGTGGGCGACATATGTGTCCTCAGTCTGGACATCAAGTTAAAGTCAGGAGCTGAATTCATCTGATTGGATTTTTTACGGACAGGCTTCCAGACTACCTTCATCAGACCAGGACACACCAGAGCAAAAACACTGCAAGGCAAACTAAGATTAATAAAAAAAAGAAAAAGCAACATGATGAGAAGAAGGAATAAAGTGAAATGACTTATGTAGCCACTTTCTGCTATTGCCTCAACACAAATGATTTCATTAGAGTGCTTGAAGCAGGTTATTACAGTGCTCAAAAGCATTCTGGTCTTTAATGTAAGACTTGTAAATGGTTCCGCTTTAGATACGTCAGTAAAAATATAAAAACAATTACAGTACATTTGTCTGAATTGTATTTATTCAACAAACCAGTAATAAACCAAACACACACGGCAATTAGTGAAAGCATATGATGCATTCAAGATGTGATCCCATCCCAGCTCCTTACTCCATTGTTAGGAGAATTGAAAAAGGACTCAGGATCTAATGCAGTTTCATTACTCTCACTCGGCTCAAGACATGACACTCACTCATGGCGCTCTCCTTGGTTTTGCACTCGTTACACACACAATTGAGTCAATTTAGAACAAGCTCTCAGGGAATACAAGTTCAATCTCTTTATCATTTGAGAAACATGCACCGTGTGTCGGTTTCAATTGGTCACAGGCTGTGACGGGAAGGCAGGAAGGGGCCTGAAGTCACAAACTGAAATGCTGTTACAGTAGGTGAGGTAAATGTGGTTTAGGAACAAGCTGGGAGCAGAACGAGCTTACCTGTTGGAGAAGACTTTGCTGTAGTTGTACACTTGGATTTCCAGCATCTCGTTTCCATCCAGCCTGCTGGCAATGGGCCATCGAAATATCTGGGGAAAAATACAGAATATCATGGTTTAGAAGATAGTAGAACTGTAGCTAAATATATTGTTTATCGATTGTTCTATTGATTATTGTTTTATTAAAACATTGTTTAGTATATAAAATGACCAATAGAGTGATAATGCGTATTTCCAATGTGACGTCAAACTGAAAAAGGCACAAGATCAACCCTTAATTCTGTCCGAGGGGGCAACAGTGTCAGAATGTGTCCAAAATCAATCCCTATTCACTATCACTATATTTCACTTTTAGTCTACCATTTTATCCCAATGTGAAAATGTCAGCACTACTTCCTGTTAACAAGCCTAGAGTGCATGCTCCATGTTTTACAGATGACAGTTATAGTACTAATTTACAATGATGACACAACATTTGAATGATTAGTAGTGGCCTATAATGTTGTTTTACTGCTCATTAATGATCTGCTCAAGTGTCTTTTTATAGGGAGAAGTGAATAAGTGAACAAGAGAGTAGTTTGGATAAACAGCTATACAGATAACTCCTTCAGAAGATACACACAGAAGGACTTATGTCAGCATGCAGATGTTCCTTCGAGGATCCCTTGAGTTTAAAATCATCCCTAGCAGCGAGATGTAGATTTTTGTTCTTGATGTAAAAGTACATCAAAATGTTTTATTTATCACAATAAACATCCCCAGGTTCTACAGCACCAACCAAGAATACTGATTACCTTTTTTTTTGCTATAAGGTAAAACATGAAAAATAGCAGCCAAGCAAAAATGTATGATAATTAATGTCTTTGATATCCTTGAGGAAAATCCCACTTTGTAAGAGGTGCGAAATCAGCTTTGAAGGATAACCTTCCTTTGGCAAGTTTGCTTTAATTAGCTCTGAAATTACAGTTTTAGGAGATTTCCCATTGCAGTATCCAAGTATCTAAGAGGGGAAAAGAGAAAGCAACCACATCTTAGTTTTAAATCCTTTCCAACACATGAGTGAGGTCTTCACTAATTGGTTTTGTCAGGCTTATCAGACACTCACAATGGTACATTCATTGTTTTTTCACACCAGTGAGCACACAGTGCAACTCCCTTCGAGGGTCCTGTCACATATAAATTGGATGAACCCAGAGTCCGTTTATCTCAGAGTTATCGTGTCAGCAGGACAGTGAAAAACTGATTATGGTCTTGTAAAAATGTACTTTATAAAAGGGTGAAACACACACAAACTTCAGATGTCACAGGTTTTTCATATTTGTATTTACATTTATAGGGGACCAATTCAAAGATAACAATGAATGGGGCGAAGCCTGCGAGCTAGTTCAGGCAGTCAACTCGAGCACCAATGATACATTAACACGTGACGCACCTCGTCCCTCTTACAACCAACCAAACACATTCTCCTAAACATGCCGCTCTATTTAAGCTGCCAGGTCTTCCTGCCTCTGCCTTGCTATGCTGCTGCTGCCACTGCTGTGTTCACTTGCTATTGCTGCGTTCATGTTCCTGCTGCTGTGTTTCATGTTGCTGCTGCTCGCCTGCCCCCCCCACCACCCCAGCTTCCACCTGTAGGCTCGGGGGATAGTTATCTAATCATCACTCAATGTTCTTTGTAAATCTGTGGAGTGATGAGGCCCGAGCCTAGACGCCAAACTCAAACTATATGCTGCTATAATAAACATATTAAGAAACACGTGAGTTGTCTGACTGAAATAGCAAAACCGTTCCAGAAAATATGACTCAGTTCTCCTGGGTGGAGCAAATAAATTGCAAAAAATAAGCAAAGACCAAAACTATTAATAAGGAAGTTAAAAAGCAGGTTGACTTAAAGCTTAACATTCAGTAAATCACCTTGGAGCCTCTTCTTCTGCACTTTATTATCTTGGGAAAGAGGCTGTATGAGTGCAGGGGGGCTGGACAGGTGATTTAAAACCCATTCACCCCCCGCTGGTGTTGGGGTCTCATTCAGGAAAACACTGCGGGCTGTGAGACAAGCGATTCATCAGGGATGTCCCATTACTGAATCCTGGGGTTTCCACCTGGTACAGTAGACCTGCTTTCAAGGATCTGTGGAGGTTTGTGAGTGTGTACCACATTAAGGCATCACTCTGAACCCTCTGCACTGAGGCCCCTGCAGTCTGTAGCCTTCCCTCCCAGGCTTCAGTCAAGAATAACCAAAACGGCTGCCTCCTTTTTAACGGCCTTTCTCCGGCATCTTTCAGCCCCAGAGGGATGGTCGTTGGCTAAGGTTATGGCTAACAAGCTCGTGCCACACATCTCATTTATGAATATATCTCCTCTAGTGTGTTTGGAAAGCTGAGGAAGAGGCAACAGCATGGTGTTAATGTAGCACGGATGACAGCACACACTGCTAATGGAGGAAATGACGCCTAATGCAGGCTGCCCACACCAAAGCAAAAACATACTGTAGCTAACACAGCACTGCAAATGCGATTATGTTTTCTCTTTCCCATAGCAGGGACTCTGGGAAGCCACATTCACTTCCCCGGAGACAAAACCATTTTTTATCTTTGACTGCACGTACAATAGAAATAATAATAAGGTACACATTTCCCCTTTTCCTTCCACACACACACACACACACACACACACACACACACACACACACACACACACACACACACACACACACACACACACACACACACACACACACACACACACACACACACACACACACACACACACACACACACACACACACACACACACACACACACACACACACACACACACACACACACACACACACACACACACACACACACACACACACACACACACACACACACACACACACACACACACACACACACACACACACACAAGCTTTAAGCTTCCACTCAGAGCCATGTCAACCTCAGCGCTTTACTTGTCTTCATTCTCTGCTGTCCAGGGCTACTTATCTCCAGAGTAGCACACATGCAGGGATGCACAACATGAAGGAGAAGGCTGTGAATGTTTCCACAGGCACCATGACAGAACAAAGTGCTTACATTGGTTTGAATACCCAGCGAGTGCAGACGGATAAAAAGGGTGCAGAGAATCCATTAAGGTGAGAAGGAGGAACGGATTAGTGTGCTTCAGCTGTACTACAGTTTTTAAACAATCAAATGGTATTTCGCCACAGGGTTACAACTCAAAACACAATACTCTTGCAATATTGACTCCTGCTTTTTCAAAAAGGTGATATTTTTTCTCAGAAGAAAGCAATCTCCACCTGCCTGCCTTTGTGTATGTTTCTCTCCCTTTACAATATTTAGCTGTTGTAATAAAGGCAAAAAAGCAATTTCAGATAATGCTATGCAACATTAGGGTGCACAATAGTAAAACATTTCAAGTTAGAAGTTATCCAATTGTTCTTACTTTCTAAAAATAGAGGTATCTAAAAGCTTAACTCATGTTATTCTGAAGAAAGAATTTTTTTTCAGCATCCCTACTTCCCACATAAAAACCCACACTCATCCCAAATGTCCTTTACTCAGCTCTATTCATTTAATTATTTACGAGGTAAAACGATGAATAAAAACAAAAAAGGGATTTAGTCAAATGTCTATCTGTTTGATCTGCCTCTTTAACATTGCACTGCTATAGTAGACCACTGAATGGATGCCTTGGATGAAACACACGGGATGACATTTATGGACAGCCATTGCGTTTGATTCAGCATCACCATGGTTACACCAATACAACCTTAATGGGATAGCAATATTGCCAGTCAGCTGATAATTATGGACAGACAAATACATTCCTAAACAGGCTATAAGGCCGACCGATACAGATCCCAGAGATGGTATGACAGAAATGAAGTCTTTTAAAGATACAAATGGTTTGTTCTTATTCACAATGGAAAATTCTAATAAATGTCTCGGGACTAGAAACAACACATCAAGATCATTCATATTCTCTTCTCAAACATAATTGTCCCAGTTAGTTAGTTGTTATTATTTATACAGCACGTCCTAATAAACACTTTTAAGTAGCAAAAAGGAAACAGTCTTTTCTCTTAAACCCCCTGCAACAGCAAAAGTAAATATATAAAGACTTTAAGCACTTTAATCAGTGATACTTTATCAAAAAACTATTTAAAGGGTCATTTGAACAATGTGTTGCACTTAAATACAGGAATTGATCCAGCACAGGCTAAGATGTTCTGACTAGTCCCTGGTACAGGCTTAACTTCAACAACCTTGGATCCTTGTAGTTTAAATTGGCAGTTTCCAAACCCAAGCCAAGATGTCACTTACAGTAGGCTATTTAATAAAACTTGACAAACCTCCTCCACAGGAATCAACTAAATGATTCTAATTGCTATCAAATTGAATTTGACCTTTAATTATCCAATTAGGTCCAATGAAATAAAGCCTCACCAAAACACCCACAAAGCGTATAATACGTATTGCGGCAGTCTCTTCTCAGGATTGAGTGGGTGTGAACGAGCTGAGGTTGACGGACATGGCTCTGAGTCTCCTGTTAGCGGATTATTACCTCTGCTGGCTCTGTGAGAGAGAAACTCGCTGCCCATTCATTTCAATGTCAAGCAGGGCCGCACAAATCTGCCTCTGGTCATGAATTGACCTGCCTCCTTTGCTTTTCTTGAGGTTTCAAATGGATGGAGCTTTGACACAAGAAAATGCGAGGCTCTCCAGCGTCCAGCCAGTTTGAGAGGTTGTGGGATTGACCTTACATTCTCGAAATATTGATTGTTCATATTCTTGTTTCATAACTGAATGGCGAAATAATACAGCTGTGGGGAACGAAAGATTATGTGTTTCTGCAATAAGTGCAAGAAAGTTTAAATGTGTTTGCTTTGTTTAACTGCTATCCATGTAAACTCCCAGAGTTCACATTTAAAACCCTAGCCGGAGTGGTTGTTACTCTGACTGAAGCTTTGGAGTAGGAAATATTGCATTTCTATAATTATCACTGGCAAAAATGAAACAAAAAGCTTCACGAAACCTCAATTCAAGCTGCGGTTTAATTGGACCCAACATTGAGGGGGTGCG